ACTAAATTTTCGAGTGGACTACTTTTGCGAGGGATTTAATAACGATCGGAATTTATCAGGAAAGATTTCAAGTGGTGCATCGATAGTTGGCAAGTTTGGAAATATTAATACATTCGTCTGTCGATACCAGCTCGTCCTTAATCAGGATATCGAGCATACATCAGGAAGTTCCTTCGAAAGGTATTAATTGCACCAGCTAAATCACGCAACGAATTCATTTCACATGATTAATGAACCGTGCAACAGCTTCTCTATCGCACAACAGAGATTCATACTTCGTCAAACTGTCAAGGTGTATCCCCTATAAACTTTCGAAAAGCTTTTAAAACTATCGTATCCTTTGTTTCTCGCCGAAACGTTTACTCACCGACGAACGATCTATCCTGTGAATAGACCAGACCGTCGAAAAAAATTCCGTGACACTTCTATATAGTCCGGACAACACAGAGAGGAAAATTCGAGGGGGAAAAAAAAGAAAAAACGAAAGAAAGAAAGAAAGAAGCGTGGAGATGGGTTGAAGTGTCGCGGTTGAATCGCGTTTTCAAACACGACCAATCGAATTTCAATACGCATGAATATGCGTGGCGCACTAAACCGTTGCTCGTTGAAACGTCGTTGTTCTCGCACCGCCCATTTTTCAGCCACACTTAATCGCCAATTGGTTTCACGCCGTTCAACCACGAGAATATGTAAATGACAGGACGTATTTTTGCAACGTCAAACGAACGCGCCGCAATCGTAATTTCACTCCCGACACCGCCGATGTTCCACCGTTAAAAATTACATTTAACTGCGCCCTGTTCCGCGATATTTACGATATGACACCTGTTACAACCCTCGCCCCCAATCCGGTGGAAATATGAATTCCCCGTAGCGATCCTGACAAGCATTTCGCGAGACGGCTGCGATAATGTTTATCGCAACGTGAATTGCTCGCAAAAAGAACCGTGAAAATTCCCCCTTTTTTTCGTACATTGTACAGGGAGAACAGGTGTTAATATCTCTGTGGTTTCAATCAGACTAGCCTGGGGGAAAGGAAATAGGAGATGCATCTTCACGCGTCATGATCTCGCTGGATTGCCTCGTTGGATCAGGAATTCAATTTCATCGTACTAAGAGTGGCGAAGAGAGAGAGAAAAAGAAACGTGTCATTCGTCGTGTCGAGAATGTCCTAGGCATTGGCACTGCTTCCATTAAACGGGTGAATTTATCTGGAAGGGTGAATATTTTTTCGGTTTAAATAGAAAAATGTAGTAGATTGGAGATTTCAAGGATGAAGGAAGTACTGATTCCTGCGAAACATCCATTCATTCAGCAATCGCTCTAGGATGAAACAACTTGAAATCCGTGATATTCCACGACGTTTCATGTCCTTCGTTCCCACAATAACCGTATTCTACTCGAGAATAGCACATACTTTTAATGCAGCGCGTGCACCGTCTACCTGGAACTCGTTCGTAAAGTTCGGGTATAAATTCGGCGTGATTCACGGGACAGGGAACGTCGTATTAAAGTGCCATAAACCTTGGCGAAATAGGATAAAGAGGGATCTGGTGAAATGCACCGTGTCGCCAGACCACTGAAAGACTTGTCAAAGTCATCGCGAAAACGCGTCTCACACCTTAACGAGTTCGCAACAAGTGTTTTTAATCGAGAGTGTAATTCGAAAAACACTCAGAAACGATTTAATTCTATCTCATTCCAAAGCTTCTTCCTATTTACTTTCGGTGAAAACTTTCCCCTGCCACTTTGCTGTGTCTGACTGGTCGATGACGGTAACTTTACAGTCGAAAGAATCGTTGTAGGAACACGTAAAGTTTCGGGGGATACGAGAGGCTGTACTAAGGCGCTCGTGAAAGTTACACACACACACACACTCACACACACGTTCGGATGGTGTTGTTACAACGTATAAAACGTTGTCTCTTCGAGAGGAAATTCCTTTGGAAAGTCAAACAGCGTAGAACGAAATTCTTCTAACCATTAACTTCCGTGGAACTACGGTATCGTTTCCCGCGAGAGAAAAAAAAAGAAACACTATCTCGAGTGTCTGGTGTCTAACGAAAGATGGAAAATTTCATTACTTCGCCATGGGTCGGAGTTTAAATGTTTTTCTCTATAGGAGAAGCTTGGTAATAGGAATTTATTGAAAAACGCTTGTGAAATCACGCCACGATGAGAGTATGTATTCCCGAGGCAAACTAATTCTATCGCGCGTTTTCGAGCACAACGCGTTTCAATTTAGCGCGGACAGAAAGGTTAGGTTACGTATCGCACCGCCAATTAATCTGATTAATTTTTATTGTGATTCGCTATCGCGCAGACGGATATCGGTACGCAGGTTTCACCGGACAAAAGGACCCTTTCGCGATAGATAAAATGGAAATTCTCTTTTTCGTTTTCGAGTGAGAACACTTTCAATGACCTGCACACAACGAGCTGGAAAAAAGAGGAAAATAAGAGTAGAATAGAGAAACGAATTCTATCTATTCTTTCTTCTTTCTTTTTTTCCAATAATAAACGACGTTTTTAGTAACTTGGAGTGAAAGACGCGATACAACGTCGAAGAGACGAAGAACACTTGCTAAAATGGCAAAGGTTGTGTAGCTTTTTTAAACTGTATTTAGAACGATAGTTTTCGCATCGATTTGCAATTCTAACGCGGCAATCTTTCACGAAGATTACACCGCGTCCAATGGTCTGTTTCGTGAGCTATCCGTTGCACTGCAACTACTCCACGAGAATTTATAGTTCGCGTTGTTCTTCCTCGCACTTTGATCCAAGATGAGAAAGGAGTCCTGCGAGTTCCACGCGAGGAAACTTCAAATTGCGCTAACTTCGTCTAAATTCAAATTCGGCAGGATTAAAGGACCAGCCTTGAAATTCCAGCTTCGCGAACATGGCTTTTCCAACATATCTTCACACGGCTTCATTCTCAGCACCTTAATCTCCCGACCTGACCGTTTCTCACCGATTAATAAGCTTAAAACGCTCCGCGCTTTGCTTTAAAGGATAAAAAATACCAGCAGATTTTTCTAAACTTCGCGAGCTTAGGTGTCGGGAACGTTGTTAAAAAGACGAATAGGGAGACGAGTAGGGAAGACCCATTTACCACGCTTCACTCGAGTCGACTGACGAAACCGAGAAAATTAGCGTGGAATTGTCGCGATTAAATGGAGGAAATCTAGAAAAATGATCGCGGAAATGTGAGCTCGTCTTATCGTATGTAGCGAGACAGCTCATAAAAATCTGTCAGACGTCGGGAGATATGTAACGGAGGATATTTCTTTCTACCTGGGAAAATATTTCAGAAAATCAGCTAAAGTATCTCGATATTCCGTTCGTGTAACCCTTGTCAGCATCTCGCGCCGTTATTTTCAGTCTAGCTGGCTGCGAAAGAAGAAACTCGGCCAAAGATACGAGTACCTTAAATAATAATCCACGATACAGGACGATATTTATACAAAAGATGTTTCACGCTAAGGTGAATATTTCGATGAAATATCCCCTGTCTGTTGCGATAGATCCATTTTTCTCCACGCTTCTCTCTATGTTAAAGAATATACATCGGATTTACGCGCCACTGTTGCGGATGATATTAAAACGTCGTGACTGAACGTATAAGACGTCATTTCAGCAGTAACGTTATTGACTGGAAGGAATTGTTTCCTTCGGTATATTTTTTATTCTATTTTTTTCCGTGTGGAAAGGGGACAAAATTCAGCTTTTTCAAAAAAATCATGCAACTTTTCTCTCTCTCTCTCTCTCTCTCTCTCTCTCTACCTGCCACGTTGTACAGAAACGTCGAACAATCTTTCGACGTTAAATTTGTATCGTTGAAATTACACAAGCATTTCGTACGTGGTGTACAGCGCGGAAATTGTTTCGAACATACATAACTCTGGCCCGGTGGCTTTTGTTAGTTTATACCGAAAATAAGGGCGATATATGTATTCTGTATCACGTTCGCTCGTTGACACGCGTTTCTTTCGTTTTATTTGCCTCCGGTGCAGCGAATTTGCATTCGCACGCTCGCGGAAAACACAGAGGGGACCGGTTATTCTCTTTTTTTTTCTTTTTTTTTTTCACTCCGGTTGAAACAATATGTCCGAGTTCACGAATAGTTCATCGAACATCGATGTTTTTCAAGTAACACTACTGCGGGATCCCTTTATTAATATCCCTCCAATTTCGCGTCACCACTTTCGCCGACCACTGGAAACCAATCAACGGCTTTCTTCGATGAGAAATTGTCACCCAATTTTTCGATGGTTCGGCGGAGAATGAAAAACAGGGAACAGTGTAGTGGGAATTTGTCGAGAGGGCAACGAGCGAAGTAACAAACACAGACATCAATTTTTCTTCCTCAAATATCCTGCTTCATTTAACGAATTCGTAAATAATACAACAAAAATTCTTTTACACATGCACTCTTTTATTCTTTTACGCTGAATATCGATTCCAATTCGAACTTCTACCTTTCATTTAACAATTTCCAAAGCAAAAAGAAAGGGACCATCGTTCACCGCGAAATATTCAACCCTTAACGATTTTAAAAGTAAAAAAGAGGACCACCTTTCACCGAGAAATATTCAACCCTTAACAATTCCACGAACGAAAAGAAGGGAAACCATCGTTCACTTTTCGAACGAAAAGAAGGGAAACCATCGTTCACTTTTCGAACGAACTTCTCCGATTTAAAAACGGAAATAAATTAGCGAGGAGTATTTGTTAGGAAAAATTCAGTCACTTATATTCAACACCGGAAATAGAAGTAAATCACTGGAATATTCACCAAGGGAAGGGCGTTGGGTTACTTTTTACAGATGGCACTGATCCTGAACACGACGTCGTTTCCTCCTACGCTCGGGAGCGACGACAACGAGGACGATAGTTACGTTCCATACGACCAGCGACCGGAAACGTACATAGTACCTGTGGTATTCTTCTTAATCCTGGTGGTGGGTGTTACCGGAAACGGAATTCTCGTGCTCACACTTCTGCGTCACGCCAATATGAGAAACGTACCGAACACTTACGTCCTATCTCTGGCTCTAGGTGATCTTTTGGTAAGAAATCAAATTCCTTCACGTTTCTTCTTCGCCGAGAAAAAAAAAAAAGAAAGAAAAAGAACACTTTATTGCTGATTGAACGATAGAAAAAAAGAAGATGCTCGTCGTTGAACGATCTTTCGATGCTTCGACACGGAAACAATGCATGACAAATGCGTCGTGATTTTATATTCATAGAATGTACAGGTTGTCCATGGTATGAATTGTGTATGCACCATTCATGAAAGTATATTATCGCACGAATAATTAGACGTTTCTTATTGGAATAAATCGGGTGAGATAAATATTGAACGTGTAACAAGGAACTTCTGATCGGTTCTCCATGGACATCCTGTACGAGTAAGAAAAATGCATTCTTCGTCGAAAGCTTCTTTTCAATTCACCTGGAAATTTCTCTGGTACCACACACACGTGTCATTTGTATCGGATTTATGCATTCTGTCAGATTCGCTAGCATTTCCGCTACTTTTTACCTCGACGATCTCGCATGAAACAAGGGTCGTTAAAGTTCCGCGAAAATCCGCGACTGGGAAAACTGTATCGAATTCGAGGATAACGTTGGTCGATGCATAATTTATAACCGTGTGGGAGGAACAAAAAATAGATCCATTACGGTTTTCTTTATTCAACAGATTGGCTTCGTTCAACCTGAAGCGAGTGAGACTGTATCGAAATTGTAATTTACGGATTTGTTACTTGTCACTCTTATCTTATTTTTCATTGGAGAGTTTTCATACGAGCGTGGTATATTTCCAGTTGTTATTTCGAGGTAAATTGCATTTATCACGCTCTAATTGAACGAACATTTTCTATGGAATGAACTGTACGTGTACATAACGCGGAAAACGACGAGCCGCGTACTCTTTGTAGATAATGTTTTCAACTGAATATACAGGGTGTCCCGTAACTCTTTGAACATCCGGCTCTACGGGCGCTGTGATTGGCCAGTGTTTTTCGTTAATAATTCAAAAACGAAAAAGTTGTTCAGAGTCACCCCACCAACCCCCCATTTCCGGGTGTTACACTCTTTACAGGACACCCTGTATATGATTAAAAAATGAAACACCACACTTGTTCCGTCGCGCAGGTACGGAACGCATGGGGTCTTCGTTGACCGGGTTTATGGCACGCTCGCACCAGAAGGTTATTTTTCAATTGGCACAGAAAATAATGGCGCGTCGATAAACGCTTCCTCCGTACCAATTTCATCATTCGCTGACGCGTGTACACAAATGTGTCGTTCGCGAGTATCATTCGTTCTATTACACGATACTTCTGTTTTTCAAATCTTCGGGAGCGTGTAATTTTTAACTCGTTCAAGATACACCTAGTAAACTGGAACCAATTAAATTTGAACATTTCAACAGTTTCGTTGTAATTTAACGAAACTAGAGCTCGGACGGAAAATTCAGAATTGCAGAAAAGCGCCAAACTTTTGAGAGTGCAGAAAATTTAGAATTTTGCAGAAAAGCATCAGACTTTTGAGAGGGCAGGAAATTCAGAATCGCAGAAGATCGCGAAATTTCTCAAAGTGCAGAAAATTCTTCTTTTTTTTTTTCTTCGGTGGAATATTTTTTCCTCTAACATATGCGATATTTTAGGTGATCCTGACGTGTGTGCCGTTCACGTCAATCCTGTACACCGTCGAATCGTGGCCGTGGGGTCTGGCAGTTTGCAAATTATCAGAGTGCGCCAAGGATGTTTCGATCGGCGTCTCAGTTTTCACTCTGACCGCGTTATCAGCCGAGAGGTAAGTTGTCAAACCCAGTTACGACCGAGGAAATTGTTGTTTCAGAGATAGTATAGAGACCATCGTAACTTGTGACGAAGTTGCTCGGCCCATTAATGGACCAGTCAGCTGGTTGTTCGACCGTCTAATCAGTAATCCAAACGAAACTTTCTCTCTCTGTCTCTCTCTCTCTCTCTCTCTCTCTCTCTCTCTCTTTCGAGAAATGAACGATAGGATTCGTTCGTTTCGTTTGTAAATTCACAGTACAAAACTTCGATATTGAATTCGAAACGTCGAATGATAGTTGTATCGATTTAACGTTGAAGTTTTCTTTTCAAGATTGCCCTGTGGATAAGTAGATATTGTTGTTGTATAGGTACTGTGCGGTCGTGAATCCTATTCGGCGTCACGTAGCTGGACTAAGCGCTAAACCATTAACAATACTAACAGCCTCGCTTATTTGGGTTCTGGCGATTGTTCTCGCAATGCCAGCTGCTCTTTTCTCTCACGTGCCGACCATCCCGTTACAGGGTAACCACAGTATCCTGGTTTGCAGTCCTTTCCCCGAAGAATTCGGTGAGTAACACACCACTCTAACTGCCCCTCCAATTTTCCACTCTAACGTAAGCACACCATCCAGATATACGTATACGAAAATAAACGAGAACGACAAAATTTCGTTGTATCCGATTAATTTCATTAACTTGTCCGATATACATTCGTACTTACGGAGTACTTACTTATATACATTCATACTCCGGAGTGTATGAAATACACGGTAGCTCGTGTTAATTTTCGCGACTGATATATCGCGTATCGTCGAAAATTCCATTCCGCTTGGGAAACGAACAGAAATTGCAACAGTTGCTCGTTTACGACACTTACACGAGCATTTATCACACGTCGTATGCACCAAGTCGTACATTTCTCGCTTCTTGTTCCGAATCGCAGGGGAGCGCTATCAAAGAGGAATTGTGATGTTCAAGTTTCTGGCTTACTATGCGATTCCTCTCTGCGTGATAGCTGGATTCTATATGGGAATGGCGCGACACCTTCTACTATCCACCAGAAATATGCCTGGCGAGTTGTCCAGCGGAAGTCATCGTATGGAGCAAATTAGAGCGCGCAAAAAGGCACGTATCTTTTTTGTTTTTCTCTTTCTTTCAGTATCACCGGTGATATCGAGAAGAAGAAAAAGAAATGGCAAGCAAAGAGTACTGTCGAACGGCAAGTATGCAGTTTGAACGTTTTCATTTTATCACGTTTATCGAACACACGTATCCAAAGTCCACACGATACGTATAATTACGGGCAATTTAACGTGAGAGCCAAGTTATTCGTACAATTGCCATCAACTATTTATACCGCTCGCGTAATCTTCTCTATAATCGGCGATTAGGTTGCGTAATAGAACATTAAACCGATAGTTAAACGACGATGAAGCAATGCAAGTTGAACAACTCAAAGAGCGGTGAACAATTTCGAAAGGTGGGTGGGGTAGGCTAATGCGAAATCACTATAGACGCTCCTCGCGTGCTCCTGCAATATCGTCGACATGAGTAGTCGAGTGAAAAGGGACGATAGATTGGCTGAAATTACATCGATACAGCCAGGAGTTTCTGTTATCGAGCCATTCAACCCTTTCTCCTTTATTACACTTGCTTCGTTTTACCTCGTGACACCGTGGCGGGGTAGAAAAAGTTCGGTACTCAATGTGAAAAATGCATCCGGTGTTGTACTTTGTGCTCTCTAACGAGGAAAATTTGTATATTAAATTTTAAATTTTTTGCAGATGTTTTTAATTAAATTTTGTCCGAGTAATGTTTAATAAAGAGTTTAAATTGATACTCTGCCAGTTTTAGTAACTTATTTATTTTTTTTATTATTTTTGCTGGAAGATTGTCTCTTTTTTTCTCTCTTTCTTTTACATAAAAGACTACTTTAAATGCATCGTACTCGTCGAGATTTACGGCGATGAAATTCTTCGTGCCGCCGTGTCGCCTTATTGTATATCTTAAAAAGTGACTCTTCAGGCAACTCGACGTCCCGATTCGCTTCGAATCATCTGATACCGGCTAGCATCGGAGCGTGACAACGGAGATACGGCGAAACTTTCCAACCACCGCACCGGTTCTTACCTTCGCTTCTTCCAACGTTCCCGCACGACAGGAACGATAACGCGGAACCTTTCGTCAGAAACGGCAGTGGCAGTTGTTCGTTCCGCGAAATCGAGTTTCGCGGCCGATCGTTGCAATTTCGCGGTATCATACGGGCGAATAATGTAATCGATCAGCCTATAAATACAACGATGACAAATCGTTTATAGATAATAGAGAGAATCACGTTTAGATAGGATTCAATTTAAGCGTTATCCGCGACCAATCTCAGCCGAGGGACAAACTGCATGCAAACAGAAATGGCCCGTTCGTTCTAATAGCCTTCTCTTATCTTCTGCTAATTCTCGGTAGCTCTGATAACACATGTTCACTTGTTTTGAAATTTTTTCTTTAGCGTGAAAGAATTGTATTTTTTTTCTATGTCAATTACTGAGATTCTTCGTTGATTGATCTATTTTTTTTTCTCTTTTTTTTTGGTGGTATATTTAAACGTATTATGCTTTGACATCAAGACAAGCTCGATTAACCCTCGATCGATTCGTGTGGTTTAACACGTCTCTCGTTCGCTATGATCGACAGGTCGGAAAGATGGTGATCGCTTTCGTAATTATCTTCGTCATTTGCTTCCTACCGTATCACACGTTCATGCTGTGGTTCCACTTTTGCCCATCATCGAAGCAGGACTACGACGACTTCTGGCACGCCTTCAGGATCGTCGGTTTCTGCCTGAGCTTCATTAACAGCTGCGTCAATCCGATTGCACTTTACTTCGTCAGCGGAACCTTTCGTAAGAGGCGAGTAATCGAACTTCCACACTCGAACAACGAACAGAAGAATATACACGTTTCAACTTTCAAGCTCTGGGCTTTAAAAATTAAATCACGCGTTTCGACTTTCAAGCTCCGAGTTTTAAAAATTAATGACACGTGTCAACTTTCAAGCTCTGAGTTTTAAAAATTATATGACACGTTTCAACTTTCAAGCTCCAAGCTTTAAAAACTAATGTTACGTTTCAACTTTCAAGCTCTGAGTTTCAAAAATTAAATGACACCTTTCAAAGTTTAACTTTTGCTAAGTCAAAATCGACGTGGAACACATTTCTATAATTACGCAAAGGTCCACAGTATAGTTATTCTCTATGAATGAAAAAAATTAGTGAATTTTTATTATTAGTGACTCTATTTCATACGAATTCTTCCTAATTAAGAAAAGAGAGTTCATCTTTGCAGATTCAACGAATACCTCTGCTGTCAGCTGTGCAGGAGGACTCCGACAGGTTGTCGAACGGAAACGACGAACAGTTCCGGGAGGAACGGCAATCGAGGCACGAATTTCTTGCAAATGAGACGCGTAGGTGGTCAAGGGGCGCTGCACGAAACAAGCTTCGGCTCCACCTTCCGAAGACATACACAGGAACTGAACTCAACGGCTCTCTATGAGCTAGGTAACGAAGGGACCACGACGAGACCAACCTGAGGCACACGGTTGCAAGGAACTTTTTGAGAACAATCTCGAGACGTATGTACGAAGAATGAAGAGGACTTCAACGTGTACACGAATGCAATTTCTATTGCAAAAAAAAAAAGGCAGAAAATCGAGGACCATTTGATAGAGTTCGAAGTAAGACGTACGGTCGAATGTTCCAGTTACACGAACACTGTAAGAATCAGGATGAACGGGTTCGAAGGATAACGTGAAATGAACCGAATTCTTCGTTGCAGCCATTCCTTCGCGCACGATTTTTTCATTCGATAGATCGACCGATCAATCGCTTCAGCACTTTAGTGAACGTAGTTTAAGAGTTTTCAAACCTCTCGTTAATGTTACAGACTTCGACGGTAATGTAAGGGAAAGGACAGTTTAATTCACGACAAATCACGATTTTCCTCCGTAAGATCCCGTCCCTGGAACGTCCCTAACCAATTTTCTCCCTCGGCCGTGCCTCCTAACGGCGAAATAAGTAACGCGATCACGTAATACGGACAATGGAGCGCGGCGTTCTCGGGGTGAACAATAACCAGCGTTCCAAAAGCCTCGATCAATTACCAACGACCATTTGACTAAACGTCTACGACAGCTCTAGTCTATTTTCACCGAGTTTACTATTAAGGACGAGTTCTAGTGTTCGCTAAAGAAAAATAGAAAAAAGAAACAACCCTCTCTCTATCATCCCTTGCGGAAGAGAGTTCTGTAAGTTAGAATGAAAAACGAATATACTTTAAACAACCTTCTTCCCTTCTAAATAAAGCACCCGTTTCAAGGAAGCACACGATCATTTCCATTTTCCAGAAAATCTCTCAGAATCCTAATAATTTCAAACAAATTTTTTTTAAATTTCAATTGCCATACTTCATTATTTCTTTATTTCACCAAAGCGGAACTGGACCAAAAGCATCTTAATAATTCCGCAAATTTCAAGTGAGACATCCGAAATGTTCGCTCGTTCGAGTGTTAATCGTTTCGCTGCGAAGTAACACACGATGGGATATCCCTTTTCCATCCTTCTGCTCCTCTCCCCGACCGACCCCCCTCGCCCCTTATCACGATAATCACCGTGTCGATGGTGAATGAAAGGTTCACGTCGACGGATTGTGTCAAGTGAACAAGACACGCGAAAAGAGCGGATTCCCAGGCGTTATTGAATCGTATAGTGGAGATTTAATTACAAACAGGGCGAATAGAAGGGAGATCCGTGTATTAATTGTGTTCTGTGTCCAACGACCTTGCCTCCTTACTTCCGTCCTAACCGGGAATTCCCCGTTTGACGTATAACCCCCTCTGGTTAATAGGATTTACCGATCACACGTCCATTAGCCGTCGCGTTTCCGCGCGTTATAGACGTTCCCGCGTCGTACAGATAACGCCTGGACGTCTTCTCGATGCCCCTATTATAGCTATGTAATTAGGCCACGCAGCGGCGGAATATACCCGTTTTGCGAACGTGTATCGAACACCGTAGGGTTCACAGCGAAATCCACGCTAAACCTTATAAGATCGACGAAACTTTTCTTCTTTATATATGACACGAATAAAAATTCATTTCGTCAAATTTTCATCGTGTTTACTACCTCCGTTCGGTTGGAACTTCTTCCGGCTAATAATCTCCGCAAGTTCGACTTACTTCGTTGGAACGAAAGCGCGAGAGATTCGTCGTTTCGAGTGTACTACGTGTTTCAACGTGGAGAATTACCGACAATTTTTATTCCACGTCAGATTACGATTGCTCGAATGGAAAGTTTCTTAATAGGACGATCCATCAGGCTGGGATTCACGGAACGGGGACAAAATCGATGGGAAAGTATAATCCGCTCCTTGTTGTAGTTTCGTATGACAGCGATTGTTCCATCTAAATCTGAATTCTCGTTAGAAAAAATTTCCAAAGAAGCTCTGAAATATCCTTTCTCAATTCTATGTACTTGAAAAATTCTCCGTGAATCATACAGAGAATATTCCATTAGAACGAAACGAAAGTGTGCAAATCGAGGGTTCGTTGTACAATTTTGCATCCACTTTACCGTGCAATGTTTCCTATAAAACGGGTAACGAATAGCGTTTCACAGGCAGCGTTCGTCAGCCTCGTAACGTATTCCGTCGGAGTTTCGAGAGTAAGGGGCGCGTGCCGGCCGTTTTTATCGGGCATGGGGCACGCGTCGAGCAAACAGGGGTTCCTAGGACAATACTGTGCATCTGCAGGGGAGGCACACTGTGCAAGGGGCACATTTCCAGGGGTTCTCGAGGGGATTGGAGGGGGTGAAGCCATGGCAAACCGTCACCCTCGCAGAGAGGCCTTCTGGAACAAGGGTCGCCACGATTTCGACATTAGTCGACGCCGATCGACGCCAGTCAACGGTCGTTTTCCAACCAGTGTTCGATAGGAAACGAGGGAAAGAATCTTCGTAAGAGGACAAAGAGACAAGGCTGAATGGACAAAAGAGCCATTAACCGGGAAACGAAACGTCCGTGATCCGGGAAGAGGAAGAAACAAAGAGGCTGAAGTGAGGAGGGTACGAGTATTATTTCTGGCGTAGTGATTCTCGCGGTGGCAAAGAAGAAGGTGTTATCTGCGCGGAGCTGTGCTCGTGTGAGAAGTCGTTACAGTGAATCGATGTTGGTTCGTTGAAATTCTTCGAGGTTTTAGTGGGATTGAAGAGAAGATGAAGAGATACTCGTCGGTACGTGGTTGAATGTTCCGGGAAGGATAGAATTAAATGATCGAATTGTGTCAATATACTCTGCGAGTATAAACAAGAAGGATATAAAAATATGGGAGAAATAGTTTCGTCGAAAAGTTGGGAGAAAAATTTCTTTTTCTTTAATAATTTCAATTTCATTTTTTCACTTATTTCTCGTGGAATATACTGATTCAGATTGATCCTTCAAGTTCGAAGCACCGTGTATATTTGTGTATATGCATGTAGCTCTTTAAACAGGCACCCTGTCTAGCTGATGGAGACAGCGACAACAAGAAGCCAAAATCGATCGAGGTAAATTCGATACTGTACCACGTGAATTCCTCACTCACGAGCGAAATGTATTGATTCTCCGAGTTGTAAAATGTAAACGTAGGATAACTAACAGCGTGCATCCTGTTTATACAGGAGCCGAACGCCAGGGAGTATCTGCAGTTGGCGCTGGCCAGAGTGCTCGAGCTCCAACGAGAGATCAAAGAGGGAACATATATTACGGATCACACCAGCGACCTCGGTAATACTAATTTATTCGATAAATTCACCATATGACCTCCTAGACTCCTTCCACCATCCTCTTACGCAGGCCTTCTTCTTACAACGACCTTCCAAATCTTCTCCGAGACGTCCAATTTATCTCTCCCTAACTCACGGCTACGATAATTCCCAAGATTGTGTAACAGAAAAGAAATCGCAAGTCTCGAAATTATCACTCTGCGTTCGTTTCTTTCTCACGGCGAATTAGACGGAAAGTTGGACGGATTATCACTGGAAACATTTGTTCTCAGATGAGTCGAGCAGCGAGGAGGATCTAACGAAGGAAGTTCTTCGAAAGGTGTTCGTCGATCTACCTGGAACACCTGATTCGGTTGGCACGATCATCGGCAAAGCAGCGAATCCGAGGAATTCTCAGCTGGACGCGATTCACGGTAAAAGGATCCAGCTGTTGGGTTACGACACTTGTCGCAGAGCTGCGGTGGAGTTCATGAAGAGCGCTGTTCGCGAAACGAAACGAGATGCGACGTCCAAGGTGTATCCATCAAACTTTCCCGGCTTTCGTCTGGGCGTCTATTCGAGAAACGAACCGAGGACCGCTCATCGTAAAACTGGCTTGTTAAAGAGCTCCTCTACTTGCGACCAAGAGATCCGCGATAGAATGCTGAGGAGCTTAGACCTTCACTTAGCGAATAAACAGAGAGATTACACGGCGAAATTGATGAGGTCGGGTATTTAGGTTGAAAGAACGGAGGGGATTTTCTCGTTTGATTCAATTGCAAGCAGGGTAGAAGGTTTTCTTGACACATATTTTTTAATCCCAACTTAGAAGTAATCTTTGCATCTCTTCTCACGATTAAGTCATTTCGCGAGAATTTTAGATGTAGGAGATATGTTTGATTCTAGTCAGATTAATAGAAAGAGCAGTGTGTACCTGCCTCTTGGGAATCACTCTAGTCATGCACACGAGTCATTGGAACGTTTTTAATCGAGAGAGAAAGCTGTGTGAGAGAACGGTGTCGCGTTGTGTGAATTATTTTTGTACTATATATTAAATGTACGCACTGGAAACCGGATGAAATTATGGATATTGGTGTTGAAACATATAACTATACGATATTTTCTAAAAAACGTTTATTCATAATGTACAATTAATTAAAAAAAAAAAACAAAGACATTTGAAAGTATCTACGATACGAACTTAATTAAACGCCTAGCAACGCGCTTGCAAACTTCCATTTCGTCCCTTGGATGGTAAAGTAAAAGAGAAGAGGAAAAGAAACGTGAAACCAATGGATATAGACTAGATGGTTTTTGTCGTTAGTTCGCAACAAATCTACCGAGAAAGAACATTTCTCCGGGCAGACACGTAATTACTATTAAACGCAACTACAGAGACACGTTCGATTTCTATCAAAAATAACTTTGCCCTCTCTCTTTCTTATCAATTCTTCTTTTACCCTTACAAATAGACTCCGTGTGGCTTTTCCTTTTCCATTTAAATTACATTCTGCATTCGCGAATCCTCGAGTGTATCGTACAACAGACCATCGAAGATTTCTACGTCACGCCTAATGAGATATTATGCACATTTATGCGGTCTACGATTACACCTCTAAAACCTAGTCGAAAAAAAAAAGAACGCAACAGTTCATCTCGTATAGAAACATTCTCCTTCTTTTTCTCTCTCTCTCTGGTAACAATCATCTGTAAAATACTTCTCGTCGGAAAATGGCTGTTTGAAAATTTTCTTAAAAGAATACACCGTTTGACAAGTCCTTCGAGTACACCGTCGATTCTGTGCGCGAAAATGCACGTTTACCGTTGCTGTGGTCTACGATAGTCTTCGTTATCAACAGTTATATCGTCGATTCGATGAAACTTCGTGCAACGCTAAGCTAATGTTATCGTCTAATTGTCCCTTAAATTAATAGAAAGTCTAAACGTTAAAATTGTGTGATTCGAGGTATACACCGTAAAAGTATACCCAAAGACCCTCGTTTATAGAGACTAGGGCCAGAGGAGCTATTTTATATTCGACAGTATACAATCGATCAAATACTTCTTTTTATATACACTCTCTATCGTTCAGGCCCCCGTAAACATTCACTCGCAGTCAAAAATTTCGTAAAAATTCTACACAACTAAATTAGGGGAGCAGGGGAAGATAATTCTAAATTCTACCATCTAACGCAGCATCCTTCTTCGTTCCTGAAATTAAAACGACGATACGAGAGACGTGCTTCGCACCTCCGCGATTCCGAAGTTCCGTCCATCCTTCGCGATCGAATATACGAATTCAAATCTCTAACTCCTACTATGTGTGTGTGTGTGTATAATTATGTAATACATCATCGACAACTACCACTAAAAACCTAAACATGCTTAAACTTAATATAGAGGGCTCAAGCAGCAGGATACAGGGTCGCTGTTACAATCGGGACAGAATCGAGGAAGAAAAACAGACACTTTGTGTGTAAAATCAACAGAAGAATACCATTAACATACTTTAAATTGACCCACGTATTTTATCGAATCGCTGTTACTCTTAAAAGGTAGCTTCTTAAAAATCGATCTACGGTAAGATACTAAAGGTGGCTTGTCAACCACGCGAACAATTTCGTCCCCTTTCGTTTCCACCCTGCGAAAAAAAATACCAGACAGATCCAACTGTCGCTATCGAAATCTCCGGTTGTCGCAGCCGAACAGAGCTCGAATTTTGGACGTGAACGTGGACCGTCTGGCGGTTCCTCAGTGTTGCTGCACCAATGTCGGCCCGTTTCCCGGATTCCTCCACGGATCGGGCATGTCGAAATGCGGTGGAACCGTCACGCGTGTCGTGTTCACGCACTCGATAGGGAGTTTAAAAAACTCGAGTTTGTAGTTGTAGCCGTGGCTGGTCACGCGGATGATCGTGTGCAACGGAACCTCCATGTAAGGCAGCTCTTCCGGCTTTTTGTCCAGGAAGAAACCGATCATGCAGCGTAGAACAGCTTGATGAGATACCACGAGGATGTTGTCGGATCGCTGGAGCTCGGCGATCACTGGATCTACGCGTTGCATCGCGTCGATGTAGCTCTCGCCCCAAGGATAACGGTAGCGCAGCTTGTCCTGATCGCGCCATGCGAATTCCTGGATAGAAGAATTAAGATGGGAGATTGGTGATTTGCCGTGGAGCCAGTTTTGCGTGCAGAGAATGTTTGAAATAGATGGTTCGGGTTTAGGTACCGGTAAGGATCGATCGGCTTTTATGTGTTTTATTATTGATTTTGATGCTCTTCGTGAATATTGGTATTATTTCTGTTGTGGAGTCAGTTTTATGTGCAGAGAATATTTAAAAGACGTGGTTCGCGTAGAAGGAATGCAAATTTGTTGAATGTTGCATTAAACCTTTTGGTACCTTCAAGGATGCATCAAGGAACGATTGATTTTTATGTGTTCTTAACCCCAATTAGCACTGTATCAGGTAAGAAAAGCTAATCTGTCGCAGACTAATCGCATTTAGGAATCCTTGATCTTATAAATTCAAACGAAAGTTAGGATTGCAATGAATTTTTCTTAGTAATACAACTATTTTTGTTACATCTCGGCCAGAATCTTTGCCACGAGTCTGACACGTTGTACGTTAAAGGGATAATGGAAATATTTATATTACATATTTCTGTTATTCTTCTGTTGGAACAAGTTCCTTCGAGGTAGCTGGACGATCGTTGTAAATGAAATACTGTGTATAGCAATAACTGAACTCTCGAACGTGTTCGACAAAAGGTTAAAAAGAAGAATGAACACAACGAGGTATTCAAATATTCCCTGTTTCAATTGCATGACTCACTGTATGTAGATTTCATAGCAAAAGAGCAATAATAGTACGAGCCACTGTATAACGGAGTCGTAAATTAAACACTCGAACCGCACTTAGGGTCTTAAGTACACTCTACACTCTTTGAAACTTCCGTATAATAAAAGAACGACGATTTACGAGTAACGGTATTCACATTTATATAACATATGCGTCGAATAGCTGCGTCGAACGACACGGCTGAATTCGTACTAGCGAGTTTGAAACATTCTACGACCGTGGCCAAGATGTCGGGTCCTCGAATGTTTATATTTCTGTCGATTCGTTCGTCGCCATACAAAACATGTTTTTCTTCGACTCCTGGCCGATTTCACGGCCTCGTTATATCGTGGCTCGAATTCTAACTGTTGGAATTCACCAAAAAAATTTGTACACACGGTTCTTACGGAGAGTGAAAGAGGGGAGCGTTTTTGACCTGGAGTTTACTACATCCTTTACTGTTCCGACCACGATTAGGATCTTATTAGGAATTAGGATTAGGAATTAAATTCAGGATGAAATATACTAGGTGGTCCCATAAGTTCGTGTCGAAAAGCAAAAAAAATTGAATGAAAATCCAGGAAAATTCTATAGCGACGACATAATGGTCTCACAAAAAAAAAAAAAAAAAAAAAAAAAAAAAAAAAGGAAAAAATTGTGGACTTAGGAGTTCACTTTGTTTTTTAATCAAATTTAAGGACGTTGAAAATATCGATCTAAATTAGAAAATTCGACACGAACTTATTCGATATTAACTGCCCATATAAACGATCGATTTATCGAAAGCAGATCTTAATTTTTTTTCCAAAACTCCAAAGTACCTGCGGATAGTGTTCTTGCATCTCTTCGTAAGAGAGGCCCTCGCAAACGCCAGCGTGGAGCTCGTTTAGCGCGGCCACGTGTTCCTGAGGTGCCTCTACTCCTCGTGCTGTTGCTATAGTCCTTCTTAGGCGACTGGTGAGCACGCGCAGGTCGGGGATACGCATGGCGTTGAACTTGGTCGCCAATGCTTGCGCGTAACGTTCGCCGCGTGTGCTCAGCACAGCGTCACCGCCGACCTTACCCAACACGTTGAATTCGCTTTCACCGTGCTGCAAAAAAAGCGTCCAATAAAATTCTCCCGTGTTTTTCAATCGTGTTTGAAAAAACCGAAGAAGAAGAAGACCGGAGATAAGGAAGAGAGATAAGCCCGCGCTACGTTCAGATAAGATACCAAAAGGATTCTTGAAACTTGATGCATAGGGTACATGTGTCGTTGGAAAATCAGCTAGATTCATGACCTGTCTTAATATCGTGACGCATCTTGTATTTTAAGAGTAACCGTATAATTTTTCTTTTTTTACCCAAGATACAGAAAAAAAAGATGGAGTATTTTTAAACAGAGACTTAAACGATTACCGAGATGTTAAACTTTCCAAGCGTAGAATTAATCGATAGGAGATATAAAAATATCGATGGATTACTAACACGAGAGAAATATAGAGTGTGCGGCTTAACACTGACGCTTCCGAGATATCCCAGCACGCTAGTCTCCACGTGACCCGACACTTTGCAAGTCTCGATGTCCATGGTGGCGATGTTGATGCGTATACGTGGATAAGTGTTCTCGTCCATCGGCTCGTAACATCGCACATAGTGTGCCACTTTCAATCTGAGATCCTCTTCAGCCCGTACAGGGTCCATGCCGATGTAGTCAGCGCTGTACCGCAATATCTCCTTGTAATTTCGCTCCAGCACGAGCGGATCGTCGCAGGCGCACTCGACGAAGAGGACGTGGTAGCCGAGCTGGCCAGAAAAATAGTCGTAGACCTCGGCGCGCTGCATTCGTGTCACCAGCGTGGCGTCCAGGATCTTCGAAGAGGAAAACTCTTAGCAAATCTTGCCCCCAAATCTTGCCCCCAGATTTACGCGTTTCACCGTGGAAATAAGAATACCCTCAGGCAAAGGAGAAACGATTTTCTTTGAGTCTCTGGGAGCAAATGGACATATTTCTCCGGTGTGAAGGAGAAACTATTTTAAGACGTTTCGCGACAACACGGGCCATTATCGTTCTCTATCCTGAAACGCTAGAGCGCGATGGAAAAAATCTAACCAGGCAAAACTCGCACGACGAGATTGGACCGGCGCGGAGAAAGGTAGACCGGCTTGACCGGCCTACGTTTTAATCGCGTCGCCGTAAACCGTTTGTACCTTGTCGTTTACAAGTTTCGATCGGTGAGAAAAAAGGAAGAAATATGCCAACACGAGTCTTTGACTTCTCTCGTATCGTTACACGTGTCATCTGTAAAGTTAAGGAAAACACGATTCGTGTCGACATCGACGGTGTATTTACCGCGTGTTCGTTTAATTCACTTTTGATACTTACAGCTACAGAATTCCCGGCTGCAAGCCACGCGGCGCAATCGTGCATCGCGTCTCGCTGGGCCAGAGCTCTCAAAGCTGCGTTCGCCGTGTGATCAGGGCGAAAGAGCTCGTGTGACACCGCCTCGCCGTAAGGTTCCAGCCTTTTCCTCCGGTAATCGCTCACCCTCATCACTGGAAAAACGTTTCAGAAAAGGTTTACGCGCGGTTCCCTTAGGGTTCTCTCTGCTTTTACGAGGGTCGAGTGTAACAGATCTAACATCTACTGTGTCTAAAAGCAGCGGGATTCTCTACGGTCCCCTAATTTAGAATTCTGAATTTAGACGCTGCGTCTAGTTTTCGTGTTGCAGGAAACGCGACATCGAAACGTAAATCCGTGGAAAATTATTGAGCGTGACGCGAGGAAAGAATAGGCACGTTGAAAGCGAAGTCATAAATATTGGTAAGCTGGGGAAAATTACCAACGAGGAAGTATTAATCTATTCGCGATAATTTCAATATTCGAATTTCTCGAAAGGTGTAATTAATAAAGCTGAAACTACAGTGTATCGAATCAGCTGAAAGTAAAAATCTGACAAAGACAGAAAAAAAGAGCAGAAGAGAATTAAGAAACGTGACTAGACAGGTGAGTCGCGGTAGGTTACGTGCAGGTGTGCAATTGTCGAGAATCGAACCGTGAACGGGGGAACGAAAGGGATAATTGAAGTGGAGGAATCAGGAATTTTCTCGGCGTACGATATAAACAAAGGAAACAATTTCCCACCTTTAGTGGAGTCGCCGTTCCAGTTGAGCCTGCGCGACAGGCACACAGCCACTTGGCTTTTTCCACGACCTGGTAAGCCGCACATCGCGATCACGACCCCCGCGAATTTTCGCGGCGATTTCGTGATTATGGTCGGTGGCCTCACCGCGATCTTGTCCTTACTGTGTTCTGTGGAACAAAATAAACCACGATGAGTCAACCACGGTGTTGCGTAATTAATCGCATTTTCGTTGAACAAAAGTTCCTCGGCCAGAGATGTTTCGCTTTGGTGACATTGGAGAATAGAAAAGTGTTCTTTGTCGAATAACGACGTCGGTCTATATAATGCAACAATTTAAATTTAACGAGAGAGAGGATTAGATTTAAAGTAGACGTAACAATTTTCGTAAAGCGTTTGCTTTGCACCGATCAAGCTTGCACGTTGTATTATATACAATGATCCACTTTAGAAGATGCAGCGACGGTAACGCGAAGACGTGCTCTGGCTTGGCGCCAAATCAGCCGTACGCCAGCCATCACTCGAATGATCGTTAATAACGTGAATTCGCGCTGTGACGTATGCAACGCGGATACGAAATCGAGCACCGCTATTGTATTGTAAATCTTGTGGAGAATAAAGGAAATAAAAAAGGAAAAAAAAACGATGAAACTGTTGAATCACTGCAGGAAGTAACCTCGATACGTTTACTCCTATCATACTGAAATCACTTTTTTCCTTATCCTTCGTCAGGTAGAAATACATCAATCTAACAAACTAACACACGCGCACACACAATCGACCGATATAAATTTTTTCTGTTGCACTAGATTGCGTGTTGACGATAGATAAATAATAAATCTACTTTGCAAATTTCATTCTCGTATTCAGATTAGAATCGTTTATCCCGATATCGATCGGATCTAAAAAACGATACGAAAATAAACAAGAATCTCGTTCTTACCGAGCACACACATCCCCTTCCTGTCGTGTATTATCAAACACTATCTATTGTTCGATCGATAACAACGAATGCGTTTCAATAAATACACCACCGGCGGATCGGTTCGAATTCACTGTGCGAATTTCAAAGTAACACTGTCAGAGCCCCGCTGTGGCTGCCACATTACAAACCGTCCGATGAAGTTTATATTTAGAATTCAACTCTTGCACGAGAGCTTTTGGCTGCGCTTTCAACGACTGTCGCTTCTTCGTCGAGTTCGCGGTATTACTTAAAAAAACACCGCTGTTTCTCGACTCTCGCCTCGATTTCTCCGAGAAAATCCACCCCCTTTTTTCAAATTTCCAAGCAGATATTTATGTAACATTTTTTCGTAAAACGTTATATATGTATATACACATTTAGCAGGTCAAAGTTCGGTTACCGAAATACGTACAAAGACCTTTCCGCGACGGTTTAAAATTGAAAAAGAAAAAGGGGAGTGTGTATACATATATCGTCTGGTTGGAAATGAAGAGAGAAAAAATTGGACAGCGCACGGAGAATCGTGCGCGAGAAGTACTTTAGCTCAAGCCGGATTTTTCAGCGTGTGATATAAAGGTCAGACAAATTCGCGAAACCGATAGGGTTCCTTCAACATGATCGCGAGCACGTTCGCCACGGAAAATATTATCGAGGAAGATTTCGTAATTTCGCGATATCTGCGTTCATTTTTTTCTCTTCTTTTCTTACTCCTATATCTGTGACTGTGTCAACAGAATTAATTAGCGTACCGGACCCATTGATCTCAGGATCAAAAAGTCTCGCGTTTACGCGGTCGACGTTTTTTCCAAGCGATTTCCCTCGTGACGAACGGCGGCGAGAAGTAACACGTCAGACCGGAAACGGAAGTTTTACGACGGCGAACGACGGATCAGGCGATCTACAGGCGACGTTTCACCGTAGATCGAAGTACGGTTTCGTGTGTCGTCAGTTGGAAACGTTTAACGAGCGACACCGTGAAACGGAGTGTAGTTTAACAGTCGGTGCGTTGACCTGAGACAAGTGTCGTCACTCAATTCATTATTCAAGCGGTGAATTGTGACGGTCACATGTCCAACTTGTCACGTTACCCCGTACGTCAATGTAGGTACGCGTAAATCGCCGAACGACAAAACATACGGGGCAAAGAAATGGGACAAAACATATCGAGGCGTAAATATGCGCGAACATTACCGAGGGAAATTAACGATCGAACGGTGAGAGAAAAAAAGAGATACTACATATTTTAGTTTGGTCCTCGAATCTGCAAATAAGTTCGATCGCGAATTTTCCTCCCCCTTGCACGCGAAGGGTGAAAAGAAGGTCAGTGGTAGAGAATCGATAATCGTTCCTCGTGCAAGAGAAAAGTCTACACCAAGATTGCATCATCGCGAGCCACGCAACGCAGCAACGTCTGATAAAATTTCCAAAAATTCGTCGAACGAAAGAAAAAAGATGTCAGACGTCAAATTCGAAAATTTTCTGGCTAGACGAACACGATAACACCAGATAATAACGAAACCTTGTACGATATTTTAAACAGACGAGCATGAAAACTGGCTGATAACGAATTAGAGCAGCCACGTTAAGCTTACGATAAGGAGTATTAACGTCAATTGATCGATAACGCGTTAAAACGAGACCGTCGAATGTGTATACTATTCTGTCGCGTTCGTATTTATACATCGTGCGAATCCGCAAGGACGGTATAAATAATTGGCGTGCGCGTGTAACGACTATAGAGTATCGGTGTAACACTAAGGTGGCGATATAAAAGAGAAACAGTGTAACGTATAGTCGGTGGGAGAAATATGGCCAAGTGTAACATTCTAGCTCGAAGACCGATAAATCGAGAGAAATTTGAAAAGAAGAGGATCCAAAATTGTAGTTACATTTGCACAAAGTGTGTCTCAACTATGATTCAGTGTTAATTGGTATGCAATTCTGAATGTCGTTGCATATTTTTCACAGTATTCCTTCCGTAGACTATACAATCTTACTGCAGCATTTTGCATTCAATTCTGAGTGTCGTTGCACAATTTTTCACAGTACACATTTCTTCCATAGACTATACATTCCTACTGCAGCATGGTACCGCAAGGTATTTTTAGGCCTGTTAGCATATGCAGCATATGGTGTGCTCAGACTGCAGCTCGTTTCACAAGTGATTCTAATAATATCCCCATGGTATATCCTTGAGGAAATTTTTACGTTCATCTCCCCCTACCTCGGTTAATCCTTTCACGTTTTATCGCGAGGTAAACACTACAAAGCGCCGAAGAAAACTCTACCTGTGTATAAAATCGAAAGAAAACGCCGTATCTCGGGTGATTAGAGGCTCGATTAGATTAGAAAATTTCACGCGTGCCTTTTGTTAAATATTATCTGAGATTCTCCGTCTGGCGCAACCCTAATCACCGCCTGATGAATGTGTGTGACGTGTTGCTAATAACACGATTTCCATCCAACATCGATCGACGTTCTATCGAATATCGAGAATACGATTCACTATGTAAACTAGCCTCCGTCCATCGTTAATCTACGATACTGTAAATATAATACTAACGCTTCATTACGACAACGACCTTGTACTCTCCTACTGTTGAATAATACGCGTTCATTTGTGAGTAATAGCCTCTCCCCGTTCGAGGCCACGTCTAAATGAAAAATACCGTCTGTTATTTGGACCTTTTTCTCGCTACTATTACCCCTTCGAAACAGGAAGATGCGTGAAAATAACCGAGTCTCGTCGCGTTTCTCATTGATACCAGTGATGTATCGTTGTTCAAGCAACAGCAACAACAGGAAACACCTCTCGAAGAGCCGTGGCAGGATTGATTAAACCGGTCTGACGATAAATAAATAAAGAAGACGAGATACTGGTTTATCAATGCACCGCTAATATTTAACGAGACCTCGGTTATTCAAGCTTATTAAGTTACCTACCGATAAATTCTATCTACGAGATAGAAGCGTGACGAGCATGTACGAAACTAACTACACGTTTCTACTACGGATTCTTTTCGAATATAATTTCCAACGTAAATCTCGCGAATTCTGCCCTAAAATTAAACCAAGCACGAATTAGCTGCTATAGATCGCGGCTTATTTATAACGACTCTAACGTGTATCAAGAAGACCGAAGTTCGTGAAACTGTGACCTGAATTCGAGGGAATTTCGATCAGACGTTACGCATAGGTAACGCGGTGTTTTCTCCAACGTGAAAATACCTGGCACGCGAGATACGACGATGAAAAATTTATTTCTGACTATGCGATGCTTAATAACGACCGATCGAGAGCGTTGCATAATAGCGCGCTCCCGTGTTTCATCGATAACAGAACGGCGTTGTTGAACAACAGAAAAAAACCTGTCCCCGATCGTCGAGGAAGGAGAAAAACAAAGCATGCTATTTAATTCTCTGGTTAAAAACGGTTTCTTTACCTTGGCGCTGTTCCTCGACACTCGGTGCCATTGTGTCAGCGCTGAGCAACTTGTCCTTCCTTAAGCTGGACGTATCGGACGTGTTATCAGCCAGTGTTTTGACAGATTTGTCGCCTCCCTGCTGGAGGATTCCGGCTTGCAGACCGAGCTTCCTCACGGCGAGACAATAACCCAGAATCGGTGCTGCCAGCAGGTCGAAACAGGCTGCTACCCAAGGCATAACCTGGCCAGATGCTCGAAAAAACAAAAAAACTCAACAAGTCCCTTCGAGGGAAAAATTGGTCGTTTTTTTTTTTTCGTTTTCTTTCTCTCCAAGCACAGAGCAGGGCAGACGGCGGGAATACAACGGGGAATCAATGACAGGAAGGATGAAAAGGGAGCCTGGCAACACTCCTGCTTGAATATATGTATATCCCAGCAAGCAAGAGCCCTCTATTTGCACGGAATACTCGTAAACAGTCGCCTATTGCTAGTCCTCCTCCTCTTGTCCCTTCTGCCGTTGACTCGTAGGCTAAAGTTCTTCCGAAAAGTGGTCGCTGCTCGTGTGCCGTATTATGGACAACAGGTCCTCCCTCATTCCAATTTGCTTGATCCTCACCTCCGGAGCCAGTTTGCGGACTTCTTTGTCTATATTCGAAGAGAAGCCCAGTTCTCCGGTTTGTAACCCTTGCCTCGAGTTAAAACCTCTCTTCTTCTACCCTCTCTGTTTTTCTTCTCTCAAATAATCGACGACGTCTCACGGTGTCACGTTTTCGACTACCTTTTCTCAATCCTCGTTGCTACGAGTTTGCCACCGCTGTGCGCACGCGCTGCCACCAAGTATACGCTGGTAGTTTACATAGTCACGGTGCTTCTCCACCGTCGTCTCACCACGCCGGTGTTCTCGTTCTCCTTTCGACGATTCGTTTCGTACTCTAACTTTGCAAACAATCCGATTTCCTCCCCCTTCGATATTAATTGAACCCGCCTGATAACCTCGGTTTCACTTCGACACTCTTCCCTCGAGTCAACAATGTCTCGGAGTTTCACCTGTCTGTGTAGAAACGACGAACTTGGTCGTCGAGTTGTCTGCGGTTGAAGATTTTACAGCTTCTTCGATATCTTCTTTGATCGGCTCCTATCGATTTGGAGGTTTTTCTGGTTAATCTGTCACAGCTGGTGTGTAACGCACAGTGGTGTTTCGTTGCTTGTTCGTTGATGTTCAAGCAGGTGACGTACAACACGTTCTGTACTACTCGAAGTGATTCCAGAGACTGATGTTCCTCCATCCGTTGCAGCTTTTAGCAACATCGACCCGGACCTGGTAGGCGCCCTCTGTTGAAACCAACCAATCAACGTTACTCTGACCCCTCTCTGCTCGTTCTATAGCAATCATGCTGGTGCTAAACGTCGTATGTTGTTCACGTTTACCGACCAAATGTTCGTGTTTATCGGGCCAGCTGAGACTTGGCCAAAATGATTTTACACGTTATTTCCCGATAAATCGACGTGAAATATTAACGAATATTATCCGAGTACCTGTTGGTATTCACGTTCGATAAAATCATATTGTATATACATCGTTGTTCCTGCGAATTTGAATGGTCGCTAGAGGTGTTTTTCTCACGTGTAGTTTATTTTCGTCGCGCCGTTCCAATTCCACCTTCGATTTCGTGTGAACCGAATTAGAAATAGGCCGCGCTGAATTCTTCCAACTGACATCGGTATTTAAAAATGAAAGAAAAATTTGGACAATCTGTTTGTTCCCGTTAGAAAATCTCGTTCAAACACGGGAAAGTTAACCGGAAAATTCCCGGTAATCACGATGTGACATATTCTCCATCGTAAATTATAGTCGTGTAATTCTTAATCGTTAACATGCTTAAACATTCACTCTGGTTTCCGGGGGCGTTAGATTGGACGTGACGCGCGTTTATTGCGGCGCAACAGAGAGGCGAGCACGAGAGAAACGCGGCACGTTCAAATGGAAAAACAGATGACGATTGTTTACCAGTGAATCGGAAACGATGGCAAACTTTGTCTTATTTCTCACGCAATTACGTACGAAATTCTATTTATTCCTATCGCTATCTAGCGGTTCTATCTAGCGGAAAGACCCTCCTACTTTTTCCCTTTGCCCCTGCCAACCGGGCAAAGTCCACGTTCGTTTCTCCTATTTCCCCCTGTGGTGCCGTTTAAACGGATACGCGAGAGCCGGTCGTACGCGTGCATAACCGAGGCGTCATTAAGTTCGATGTCAGCAAATGATGGATCATTAACGTTTTGACCTGTCAAATTACATCACATTACCCGATACCATGGAAATTGTGAAAATTGTACAGGATACGAGAGCAACGAATCGTATGATTTCTCAGAACCCGATGCGTATTTATAATTGTAACATTGTTCAATGGCTCCCGAACAATGCTACTTTTATATTGACAAACTTAGTTGTAACGTAATTATGCAACGTGTATTGCGCAACGAACGCGACACACACGTGTAGGTAACACGGTGATTTATACGGAGAGGTAGAGTAACGCTTGTAAGGAAAATGTTTGGTTTTTTGTAAAAGAAAAAAAGATGTTTTCCTATAAATACCAAACACAGGAAATCGCTATCGTCGTCGGTCGTTCTTACGCTTTTGTCTCGATATAATTGTTGCCCTCTGGTCCCGTTCGATTTCCTAACGCTACGATAATGCAGCGTGTCTCCTGAAATTGTCTCGAACGCCGCTTTTCAGACACGTGAGTCACGCGTACTTTTCACTGAACAAGCTTAACCACTGCGGCGATTTTATTGCGGTAATTCTACCCCGGTTTCGAATCGTGAAAGTCTCTTTGCCGAGTTTTCAGGGCCGTACCATGATCATTCGCAACAAATTTTCGTTCGCGTTTCGAAAAGTGTTTTTTTTTTTTTTTTTTCGGTGGTTCGCGTGAAACGGAAGATTCCTGGATTTTCTCCACCTAAGCGGAACGATATCAGAAAAAGGCTTTGGGTTCCACGGAGAAAGATAAGAGGCGAGAGAAGAGACGAATTTTCTTACACGTGATAAACGTATGTCACGAACGTTCGCGTGATAAAACGATGATAGAGGTTACGAACGATCGGGGATAACGCGGGCTGAACTCTCCGGTTCTATAGTTATAAAGCGGCACGTATGAACTGTTAACGTAACTCAATTGAGAAAAGAGCATCGAATTATCTAGAAATACTGGTACTACGGTTTAAGAGGGCTCTCGTTCCAAAAGCGTTCGTGCCAAGAAGGTGCGCCTTGTCGTTCAATTACTATAAATAGAATAATGCTCCTAACAATACGGTGCATTAACGTGCTGGCAATTCACTCGTATAGTTGCCTGATTCCTTCAAGGATCGCTGTATGGCTATTAGTGTCAATATTAGTGTAAAACGGTACGAAGAAATTCACGATGAAATCTAAAGGTGCGTTCTTTTCGCTAAGTATTCTGCACTCGAGATAGATAGAAGTGACGGTGAAAACGTTGGATCGAGTGGAACGTGAATTGTAACGTGATTTAATCGAGCGGTGATTTATTACGATTTGAATTTCCCGCGCGGACGCGGTTCTTTTGATCTTCGATTTCCACGAAGGCGCAAAAGATGGCACGTCAGTTGCAATCGATACAGGTTGGAAAGTTGAAAGGTATTAAGCAGTTCTACCAATTTCCCAGCTTGTGGCGCTGCCTGCTATAGTAAATGACGGTCTCGTTCTTTCCAACGCGATAACATGGCGTTTACTTTGTGGGCACTTTTCGAGGCAAGCATATTGTGCTTGAACGCGGTCTGCGTTTTGAACGAAAATAGGTTTCTTGCCAAAGGTACGTAGTTTTCCTGACCGCTCTAGTTTTCTACCTTTTCCGTGCTTTTCTTGCCAATTTAACCCGGCAAATGTCACATGACAGAATTTGTTGGTTACGTTACCTTTCGTATTTGAACATGTAGATTGTACGTTACGTCTAGAGTGCAATTTAATTGGTAAAACGCCGTTGGAAATGTTCGTTTCACGTTTCTGAAATTAACGAAATTGTTACAGTTGGATGGGCGTCATGGCAAAATGTTCAAGGCTTCGGTGAACCTCCTACGATAAAGTCACAAATGTTGAACCTGATCAGGTCGATACGAACTGTGGCGCGAAGTAATTATAAACGTTATTTTTATTAATTTCACAACCTTCAAATGTACGATGAATTTTTTCCTTTTTTTTTTTTTTTTGCAGTTCCGTTGATATTTATAAACGTTTTAACGATTATCATAAAACTGATAATTGGATGATACGAAGGATCGAGGATGTAAATAAAAGAACACTGTGCTGTGAAAAGCCAAAACAACGATGTACATAAGTGGAAAATTAAATTCCTTTATTTTTATCTTTGTATTAAAAACAAAGTGTTTCTTTTATTATAGCATATGATACAATTTTGAGGCAGGTATATTTTTCGTATATCATTACACTATGAGTACCTCAAGAACGACAAGGATAATAACGATTTTAACGATAAGCATCATTAATTATAAGTCATTTCATGGGCAATCACGAGTCGTAGAGAAAAAATGTTCCGGAGCAACTGATACAATAATAAACAATCAACTTTTTATCATACCAAAATGCACATATTTGCACATTTTAATATCTCCCGGTTTTTTTCTCTTCCTCGTTTCGTCGATATTTCCGAATAAAACGAATTCACGTGAAATTCGACGTCTAATTAATTAATCGCCGTCGAAGTTTAATTAATCACACCTGTTTCCGAGATAACGAATCACCGTCGAGCGAAACGTCATTTGAACAAATGTTCGACGATAATTAACCTTCTCCGTCGTTCCTCGAAATGTCATTTATTCGTGCCATTCACCGCAGGTTTCTTTCTTCTTTTCTTTCTTATCGCGTACGTTTCGTTTCCTTAATTAACCAATTAACGCTTGACCCTCGAACACACAAGAGAAACTTACGTCCCACGGACACGCGATGCGCCCGTCGATTTCCGCTACAGGACTTTTCTTTCACGCCAGGTGCCGCGGGTATGTATTCTCTCTCACGGGTAATTTAAATGGTAAATCGAACGAGCAAACTGACTATAAATTATCTTCGACGCAGATGCAAGGTGCAGGTGGTTCGCCTAAACGCTTAAGTCTGTTCTCGTCCTCTCCGTGTGTTCACGGACGACGTAATGGCGCGCGTGCACGCGGGAAACCAATGATTTTCCCCTAACTTTCTCCCCTTCCTCGCTTTCTCAGGGTAGAAGTATCTCCGTGGCGATCAATGGACGATCAAACTAACTTTACTGCCCCCTTCTACGGTTACTCAAATTCGACTGCGTTAAATTTCCTTAATTATTTTTAACAGGTGTTGGAAATGAATTTCTTCCGACTTTTGGGCGCAATGAAAATTTTATTAAAAAAGAAACGAAAGAAATGATCTGACCTTTTAATTTCTGAATACTCGGTCGCTTTGAATCAATTATGCGAATCCAATAGGAAAGGATTAATCTTTTTTCATAATTTCACGTCGAAAAATTGTTTCAATAAATTTGGAATGTCGCCTTAGAGCACCAGCTATAATAATCACATTTTAAAGTGCAAAATTTATTTACGCCAAAGCGTACCTAATATTTCAACTGTTTCAATTTCCCCCAGCTTCGTTTAATTAATGCTCTCGATTAATCTTCGCGTTTCTGACTGCTCTCTTTCCCCAAGATCATCGCAGAGGTGGATACACGATGTTGCGCAATCGTCTCGACCGATTTACACAATTTCTCGGCCCGGTACGGACCCCTTAAAATTGCAACGATCTTTTTTTTTTTCTTAGTGTGTGTTGCACGGCTGCGGGTTCGACCCGCATTCCCTGCACTCTTTCATGTAACACTTATCGAGTTACATAAGTGATCCTCTTGCGGAGCCTCCGACTTTTCCTTCTTTTCTCATTTTTCACGAGGAATCAGCTTGGTCGATTCGCAACCTATTAGACGGACGGATGGCGTCGCGATTTTTCGTACAACAGAAACGATCTTACGTAAGAATCTTGACTATACAACCTCCACATTAAGACCGGTTCGAGATATAATTCGAAAGAGAAGAAAAAGATACGGCTCGTTTCAACCCCTTTTTTCTTGGCCGAAAAGAAGAAAAAGAATTCGTGAAAGGACAACGGCGTGGAGAAGAATTACGACATGGTCGTCGCACCGTAATTAAAACTAGCGGAAGACGTCGATACAATTGTTAAGCTGGTCCCATAATTACGGAGACAAGCGTACGCTCGGTTTAAGCAGTTGGTTAAAAACGCATCGGTTGGGTTGCTTTAACGAAGAGGGGCGGCGGTCGCTGTATGTTTAGAATCAAACGGCCCCGCTGCGGAAACGGGATTAGCGAAAGTAAAACAGTAAGAGCAGGAGCATTGTAAACGAGCGCGTTTTACTCTTCCCATAATTGGCCGAGCACTGGATCACACTGTGCGTTACCGTGCGTCACCGCGCCTTTCACACGCCGCGACTTTAACGATGCGCCGGGGAAAAAGTTGGACGTGGATTTTTCTATCTCCTATCTTCTCGAATCTTCTGAAATTTTCTCCAAGTGAATTTGTTCAGAGCTTCACTCGACGAAAGAAAATCTTCGACAGACTTTATTCGCTCGAACTGGAGCACGAGATCCCATTGCGTGCGCGTTTTTACTCGTTTCGCACGGCTTCTGCCTGGCAGGCACGTTTATGGATTATGTACGGCTCTTACAAAATTCCACGGAGAGTCTCACAGTTCCTCTTCTTCTCTCCTTTCCCCTTTCTCGACCTCGCCATCACCGCTGACGAAGAGTCGCGGCACTTTCCCCGCTGGACGTTGTACATACGTAAGTCTTTTTAGAATGGCCGAATCGTTGATATTCCGATTTTCTCGCTGCTCGAACAAACAACACTTTCTCGATTTCAATTATACCACCGTATCACTCTAATCCAACTAAACCCCAATTATTCGTCCATCCTCGACAAATTCCACGTACACATATACCGCTTTGTTTCATTGAAAAAATTCAATTTCATCATTTTCATCATTCTCATATTTCCACATGTGCATCAACGCGATGTGTAACACTCTCCACACCGAACGTATGAATTTTTTATTGTTCCGATCCTCGTAATCTGTTACACGCTCGGTTGCGTAATACGGTAGCTCGATTAAACACGACGATGTTTTAACAGAATACGAGAAAAGATCGCGGCGTAATGATTCAATTTAGGTCTAGCCTACTACCGTCCACGATTTATTCTCCACGATGGCGTGCCTAATTGCGCCAGCCCCGCATTGTGTCCGAGAACGTTCGCTTGATTACTTAATTCCTTCGCACATTACTCAATTTCTAATTAACCGAGTACACAGCTCGAGCAGAGAAGAATTTTCCATCGTTTAAACGTTCTTACCCTATCAATTTTAATCGATACTCCTTCACCGACAGAAGAAAGCCACGAAAGCATCTTAACAAATTCTGGTTACGTCTATCGATATTGCATAAACAACGAAGTGAACCGATTCGACACAGCTTGTTACTCGCCGTTTAAACGTTTCCATTAATTCCAACATCTCGAGTATCAAAAGTTTCCGGTACTTGAGATAATTCTACATACCGACGAGATTACGACAGAGAAATAAATCCTTCGTCGGATTATCCGGGTCTTTTCGAAAGTCTCTACCTACGTGTATTCGCGAAGTGTAGAAGCGAACGGGATTACCAGTCGAAGCCACTTTCGAATCCCTGACCGGTGGTCAGGCTTCTCTCAGGTCCGCTTCGCGAGCATCTGTTAAACGCTGCTCGTGAGAATTTACGTCATGTCCAACCTGGAGAAGCTCATAGCCCGAGGAGGCTTTATGGCTGGCACTGTTGCAGTGAAAGGAGAAAGGCGGCTGCTGCGTGGAAAAACCGACAAAAAAGAAAAGGAAGGAGGAGGAACGAATCGGTCGTCTTTAAAGGAGAAGGAAGTGAAAAAGGAGGAGACGAGTGGAATATTCAGCACGAAGAGGTCACCGATTATAAGACGGAAAAGCCCCGTTCGAGTTTGTATAATACCTGGACTCGTTGGCGGTAATACAGGAAGAGACAGAATCGCGATAGGGGAAAAGAGAAATTAAGGAGAGAAACGACGCGTCTCGTGATTCAACACGACGATATTTCAACGGTGGCGACGTTTTTTTTTATTTTTTTCTATAAAAAAGCCTTTATACAAGTATAAAAAAGATGCGTGGTTAAGGAGTAGCGTTGTTTTCTGTTTCTCAGAACATATAAAAAAATAGAGTGTGTGTGTATTTCTGTGTTTGTTGTGTGTGTGTGTGTGTGTGTGTGTGTGTGTGTGTGTGAAAATGTAGTTTCCGCGTTTTAGCGCCCGCTCCGTTTCTCGAGACGATCTCCTCTTGTTCTCCTTTCTTTCCGTTCGAGTGTCTACCTATTTGTTCGTTTTCGATGTTCAGTTCCTCCTCTGTGCCATCGAATGACGCAGCGGACGCTGGTGGAAAGCGTGTGTAAATTGTATTTACAAGGCGCGTTGAACGCGCCGATCACGGCTTCGACTTCGACTCCAGCTCCCTTTAAACGGCTTCTATGCCCTTCTTTATTCGAAGTCTCGAGAAGAAAAACAAAAAGTAATACGTTAATTAACATTTATCATCGCGAATCTCTTGCTCCGAGATCCGTACTTCTTCTCCTTTTTTTCCTACAGCTTTTCAGCTCGGCTCGTTTCTTTTATATATCACTTTGTGTTCGTCAAGATCCCTCGAGGATCTGACCGCGACGACGATGATTTTGGTACGTTTGATGAGACAAAAGAAAAAAAAATAAAAAAACAGCGACACCTAGTCAACTCTCGAGTCGTTGAGCCGGACCAGTAAAGAACGTCGTTCGATCGTTCAAGTTCACTCCTGGGAAGCCCTGACCCGTTGAAGCGACGACCTTTTATTCCCCAACGAGTAAGCAGCCCCGGGAGTTCTGTCTTCGACGTACGTACACCTGTGCGATTCCTCTGGAGAATCGTGGCTCGTTGAAGCGACGACGATTTGAATTCAACGAAACAGGAGCCTTCTTTTGGAATCCATCCTCGATGGTTACTTCGGTACGTACCGTACGTGGTACCCTGAGAATCTTGATTCATCGAACGAGACATCCGTCATCCTTCGTTTGATACGATTTTCTCAACGATCCGTCCATCGTGCGACGATCTTCCGAGCGGCTCTTAAGGTATATACGTGAAACGATCTCACTTTTCCGTTTGTTTTTGCTTCAAAGAACTTCCTTTGGACGAGTTTGAAAACCTTTGGTTCTATTTCTTTCATAGCTATTGTCTGTTCGTTTCGACCTTAAAAACCGTGCGCCTCTGTGTCGTTAGAAGTGTCGGGGACAGCTCGAAAGATAGTCGCGGTGGTCGACCGGTGTCTCCACTCGCTCTCTCTCTTTCTCTCCCTCTCTCTCACTCTCTCTCTCCCATCATCCAACCATAGTCTGAGGGCCGTGTGGCTTTTTAGTACGGTGCACCGTAGCTACCGCTTGGTCTGCTAGGTACCCCGTAACTTCCGCTTGGTCCACTTGGATAACCACCGGGACCGTGGCTCACTTGGTTGAACTGTGCCACCTGGATGGCTTGCCTGATTCCTTCGAGATCGATCCCTACCACACGGGTCTGGTAGCTCGGTACACCGTACGCGGAGCTCGGTACACCGTACTGCGAGGATGGGGCACCGTAGCTCGAGCTTGGTGCGTAGCCACCACCGCCGAATCCACCAGTCTGTTGCGCCGACAGTTCCTCCTTCAGTAGGATCTGACGGATCTGCTCCAACAAGGCACTATCGACGGACGCTCCTTCGTTGGTCTGGTAACCGGTAGATACCTGAGTGTATCCACCGCCACCGCCTAGCGACAAGCCGCCAAGGGAGTAGCCACCACCGCCACCGCCACCGCTTGGCCTGCTGTAACTGTAGCCGGAGGAGATTGGTGGTTCAGCTAGGGCGAACCCTGCTAGACCGACTATCATACACTGTGAACAAGAAACAGGTTAATTAACGTTTACTTCCTTTCTTTCTTTTCTGGAGAAAAGAAGACAAGAGTTTGGCAAACGTTCCGATGCGAAGGCGCGGCGCGAAGGGTAAGAACGTGTGCGTGTTCTGGTATCCCATGGAATGGTTATGATCATCGAAGCGTGGTCGAAATTAAAGAGAAGCCACAGTGTTGAGAGGGAAAGCGGTGGTGCAAGGTGTTTAACGGGGAAACTAAAATTGCGAGGTGTACAACGGAGAAAATGTATCGTGGATCTAGAAAAGTGGCTGACAGGAAATTGAGGACACTTTTCAAAACACTATTCGACAAATTTGTCTATTACACTTCTAAGAATGTTCGTACACACACACACACACACACACACACACACACACACACACATACACTTTCTTTCTCTAGCTCTCTATCTATGATTCAGTCAGGATAAATCATTTAGGAGACAATTGAGCGTTGCTTACCGCGATCAGAGGATTCATGTCGGCTTCTGCGATGCCGCTCTGTTCTGTGACTCTGTGCAAGGTAGACCAGGGTCCTTTATACCCCACGAGAAGCAGGGGGATACTCTCGGGCCCCCACGAAGAAGAAGAGACGGGGGCCTCTCGAGTGAGAGTAATTCAGCTTGTGAGACGATTCTCTCCTCCCCCTCCTCCTTCGTTTCTCACCTGGCCTCTACTCTGTCCTTTCAGTAATGCTCGCTTCTCTCTCCCTCACATGCCGGACACGGTGCACACACACACACACACACGATCTTCTTCTCCTCTTCTTTCACGGATCCCTCAGCCCTCTGCCCTCGCCAACAACCAAATTGGGACGATCCTCGAGTTTCGAAAGGTCCCACTCTCGATCGACACACACGGCCAACAAGTTCGGCATGTACCCGTTTGCGTCCTAGACCTAGACTTCTTCTCCGTACTCGATTGTACCTTATGCTTCGGGGATACCAATTTCACCGGTCGAATCTTCGCGCAAGTGTCCTAAGGCGAGATTTTTATTTATTCGATTTCTTGCGATTCTATGGCGCAATACAGACTTCGGAAACATTTTTACTTTCGTTCTTCGTCTTTTTTCTTTTTCTCTTTTACGCTCTACGAAAGACAAAGTAGTTATTTTCCAAACGAGGAGAATGTGTATGTAAATTTGTTACGAAAAGATTGCCTCGGTGTCGTCAATTGGTCTGGCGTAATCGCGTGGTTCGGGTCGCCGAAGTTGTACGTCGATATCGATCGATTCCGTACGTTGTTTAACAAGTACGCTTCCAAATCTTATTAAAATTTCTATCATTGAAATTCCGCGTGCGACTCGGCGAGAGGCACGTAGAACCATCCATCTAACATTACAAGTAGACCACGATGCTTCTTTTTCTTCTTTCTTTTCTTTTTCCAACCGATTTTCAGACGTTTATTAACCTACTTCGTTCGCGGTCGTTTATCCTTCGCTTCGCGTGATTTTATTCGCCTATTTTTCTTCTTCTCTCTAGGCAAATTTCACTCTGGCTTTAAGTTCAATAATACGACCAATCGGATCGAACGGATATCTCATAACCGATTTCCGCGTGTTCCCGTCGAACCCGTTTCGTTTCTAGAGCGCAGGAAGCGGCGGTGTTTCATTTTCACTTGAAATCTTCTACAGCCTAACCCTTCGATCCCGACAGAATGTCGCAGGAATATTTACAAATCACACCGATCAGATGTTCTTTATTAGCAGCAGTTTCCGATCAATATTTTACACAGTTTTCTGCGGCGATTTTACGTAAGCGCGGTTACGTAGCTCATTGCCGATGGAAGAATGTCGCAGATACGCAGCCGTCGAGCTTATCCCAGAGCCACCCGTTAGATCGTTGATCCCTGGCCTCCAGGGGAAGAGGACCAGGAAGAAAAGTACGCGGTCGAGTGTCGTTGGCAGAGCGTTCATCCTACTTGCTCTCGCGTAGAAAGCATTTTTATCGCATCTATTTTTTCAAAAATTTCCATCTCGCGTTAAATTTGTAAAATCGTCGAAAAGTGACGTTTGTAGAGATATTAGAATTGATGTACGACGGCAAATCGGACTCTGTCCAGCTCGCGGCCACGGTACCCACGAAACGAGAGGGAAAACGCTTTCTTCGTGGTGGAATTTAATTATCCGGCACGTGAACTCTCGACCCACTTCTCGACACGATCCTTCGCCTCTTTCCTTTCCTCAGGTTCGTCCCATTTCCGGCCAGATTCACGCGTCTCCCTCGCTGGTAACGCGCGTGCGACGCGGTCAGTCGTCGCTGCGAACCTTTTTCCCGCGGCAGAGCTAAAAGACCACTCCGTGTGTATCGTATACATATGCAAGTGTCGGGAAGTCCTATGTACACGGTGGATTTCCGATGCTCGGCTAGGAGACCGATTATCGATGAAGGAAGCAGGAAATTAGACGTTTTGTGCTTCGAGGGATTTATATTCGTTTTTCATTGGATAACCGGGAAACCGTGGAAAAGTTTAACAGTGTTACGAAATACGTGTAGGTACATATGAGATATACGAGTCGGTGTAAAATTCATACACTTATGAATCACATCTACGGTGGCCTCTTCGTCTTAAATGTGAAAGTGATTTTTTCCTTTTTCATTACTCGATCTTCACTTTTGACCTGAAACGTTCCTTTTCACGAAACTCAACGACGTCTCGATACGATCGTTCGTGAAATTCATCTCGTAAGAGGGTTACATTTGCATCGGTATGCAACGAGGAAAACGAACGCATCGACGCGACCGTCTCGAGCCTCGGACGTTAAATCTTCGGAATCATTAATGGCAACGGCAGCTCCCAGTAATGTATGGTCCACGGTGGCGCCGTTTGTCGCGGGGCAATTTATCCCTGCGTATATTTAAACGAATCGAACAAGAGAAAGCCAATGGTGTTGCGGAGGTGGAGAGGATCCAGTATACTCCACACAGCTCTTCCTTCTAAAATTACACGACGTGGACCATAGTGGCGGCCACAAGTTATCCTTCACCCACTCTTGCCGGATTTCTTAAATTACGTTTCGATGCCTCGTAATTACTGTTTCCTGTGAATCGTCACTTAGAACGCGGTGGACGCGTGAAATTGCCGAGACACGTATTTTTTCTTTTTCCAGAGAAACAGACCACTCCATCATCCTCGAAAGAAGAAAACAATGACCTACTTAACGAAACAAGGAAGTGTACGCATGTAGAGAGAGATATTCACACGAATATCAACGTTATCTTCGAGTAGGAAGATCAAACGAAGATTAGCGGTGAATGATAGCCAGTATGCTGTCCATCGAGACTTGTCGAACCCGATGACTCGTAATATTCTCCTTAGAGCCCTACAGTCACGTCTCAGTCTGTACTGCATCCGAGTTTCTCGGATATTAATGTTGCAGGGTCGCAAGAAAGAAGGGGAATCCGTGGGCCTGGGGCTTGACTTTCGCTTGCCCGCTGGAACTTCTCTCGGAACGATCCTCTTCCTCTTCGATGCTGTTTAGTTCGTCTCGTTTTTCTTCCATCTCGATTAGTTCGATTGTGAACCGAATCGCAGCCCCTTTGATACTCGAAAAGTGAAGGGAACGCTAAATATGTACACCTCTTTGACGACTATTTCGCGATACTCATCCTGAAACTTTCTTCGGGAGATAAAAGTGACGTCGATTAGCCGTTTATTTAGGCAACTAACCAAGAGAGTACATCGCGAAACTTTCACGGACTTTTTCGACAAAAATTTCCATCAATGTCCAATGGTCCAATATACTTGTGTTTGCAGTCAGTCTGTCATATTCGTCTAGACTACGAGAAATTCATAAATATTTTCAATAGCGTTTTTTCTTCTCTTTTGGCTGGTTAAGTTATACAAGAATTTCGACATACATTTGTACGAGCAAGACCTCTTTTTCTATACAAAGAGCACACCGAGTGGCGATTATCGCGATTCCACGGTACTTCCTCGATCATCGACGTGTCCAGAGAAGGCTCGGACGATCGAAAAAAAGTCTAACACCGTAACGAAATCCGTGTGTAATCTCGTGACGGTGAAAGGCTGAATTCAAAGTGAAAGGTGAAGGGAAAAATATTTTCGTACATGATCCTCGAGAAAATTTGGCGGCACGTCGTTTGTTTTTCTTTTTAGAGACGAGACGCGAGGAGACAAATGAGGATCGGTCCCTCTAATCCGATTTGAATAGGGCGTTTGCATAGTAAGAAGCCGTAAACTGTGTAAACAATATGTCGAACGTCAGTGGGACACTTGACACATTAGCATGCTAATGAGAATGTTTCACCGACGTAAATATTTAAAGTATTCTCTTATGAGAATCTTTCGCAAATTTGCAACGTGCGTCCGTGAGATGTATTTGACACGAAGTTATCAGGGCGATGTTTCGTTAGGATTGATACCGGAGATATTTCATTTTTCTGATTGACGAGTGACTAGCACGTTCGAAGGAGCGGCTGTGAAAGAAAGATCTGTGGTAACGGAGTGGAATACTCGTTAGCGATGCGCAAGTAACTGAACCAGGTAGTACGATTACGCAAAATTGCTTACGGGAAACGGAGCAAGCCTGCGTTTAGCTGTTGCACAAGAGAGGATGCTTCCCTTCCCGCCAGTAGCTCCACGACGTAGTATTCATAATGCTTATTACTCTAAATTATATTTGCATCTTTCGCTGTTCAACGACTCAATGAGAAAAGTTGAAAAAGACTTAATCAAAAAATGTTTAAATACTACAAAAATCCCTCAGAAATTCTAGGCTTGTTTGCTGTCGTTAATTTGGCACAGTGGACTGTGTTCTATTCAGCGTCCTTGGAAATTGGGGATGAAAATAGGGGACAAGGGAGATTATTCAAGCACGAATTATCGTATCAAAGGAATTTTCGATCTATTTGCTATCATTTAATACAATAGACTGTATTCTATTCCGCACCGTTAGAAACTGGAGATGAAAATAGGGAATAACGCGGCTAATTCGGCCAACAGAAAATTCCTCAGAATCTCTGATTCTGTTTGCTACAGTTCGTTCCAGCAGGCTGTGGAAATTGGTGATGAAAGTAGCGGATAGCGGCCGAGTTTGTTTCGTCCCAAGGAGGAACGTCGGAGCAGGGTAAGGATATAAAATGATCTCATCGCAGAACCCGGCTGGACCCGCAGCAACAACGTTAATGAGAGGTCTCGTTGACGTACCTTGGCTATCACATCGTGGCGATGTTTATCGAAATAATAAGGACGAAACGTTACTTGTCCCTGTTGCAGCAGTCTACTACCGTACGACACACATTTTAATACAACAACCTTCGAGAACGAACGTAATAAGACCCAATTCGTCGTTATTATTACCATATCAATGTCCATAAAAATGATCCCCCCATTCATAAATCCCGATGAAAAATTCAATTTGAAAGAGATGTTTGCAGAGAATGTTGAACGCGTTCACTGGAGATATGCATAAGAAACGTGACACTATGTATTCAACGGCGAAATACCAAGTAATACCATGGCCAGACGTCCTATAAGAACTCCATGAACATCTTCCCATGTACGTAATTATCACTGTGGTATGTGAAAACTGGAGAAACGCTTCCGGTTCGTTTATACCGGACGAGACGGGTCGGAATGAAACGCTATCTATTTATTTTTCTCCTTCTTTCTTTCCTTTCTTCTCTCTGCACCCTTCACGTCGCTGTTTAATAACGTCCGTGTAATCTCGTCTTCAGAAGCTCTCTTTTTTCTTCTTCTTCTTCTTCTGTTTTCCTCCCGTCATTTGATTAGCAATCAGGAGAGCGGCAACAATTACCCGAGATTACGATTCACTTTCTTTCCTCGTTTTATTGGTTGAAAAACAGCCGGGATTATATAAGGCCTCGTTCTCTTAATTAGCAATTTTTCGAAGTGATTTCGGATGTATGTTAAGAGAATTAAGGAAGAATTCAGAAAATTGTAAAGTGAAATTGTTAGGAGCCCTGTTTGCCCGATAATTGAACTGATTGCTCGACAACGTAATAACGATCTAGCCTGCGATAATGATACCTCCAACTTTTGTAATTTCTATCCGGAGATAGTTAAGAAGTATCGATACGCGAGTCGACTTTGATTATTCAGAAATTCGATGCTCCTGTGAGAAACCGGCTGATATGTTTAGGAAGCGGTAGGCATCGATCGCGGTGTACCGTTAATTTTTGACACTGTTTCGCGAATTTAAGGAATCCATTATTGTCCCAGCGTAGCATAAATGTATAAGGTGTTAAGCACGTACACACGACGGCCGGCAGTTTTGCGAGAGCTCGTTGTTTCGCTCCTTTCGCTTCTTTCTAATCAGCTTGGCACCGTTTTAATCTCACCGCTTTCCTTTCCGGTTCAAAATGCTTATTTGGCACGGCGTAACGTCGAATTAAAATGCTTCCTCTGCCATCTTCTCTCTCGTCGCTATACTTTTACCACCTACTCGCCTCGCGTAATTCTTTCACCCAGCTTAATTAACAACGTTCCTCTTTCCTCTTATATTTTTTATATCACATTGCACAAGCGTCGTCTCCGTATTGCCTAATCGCTCGATAAACAATTGCCAATTAGGAAAGAAAAGCGTGGCACGTAAGAGGGAGCCGTTGAAGATGATCTAAAATTCCAACCGAGAGAAGAAAGAAAGGAAGAGATCACGAAGGAAAGTACCTCGTGTGCTGGAGAGGAAAGAAAAAATTGTTCACAGAGATACGATGCAATTACCCAGCTGCTTTTGCCTGCTCTTTATCGAATCACTTTCTTCGCAGAGCGACCTTTGGAGAGGTCGCTTAAAACTACGCTCGAGTTTCACCAGCACGCTCATCTCCAACCGCAGCTTGGTTCACCGTTACCCTACCTCTCCTCTACCACGTTTATGCCTCGAGATCGATCCACGCGCACTTCCTTCTTCCTGTGAACAGCCAAACGATCGTCGTCTCTGAGAAACCCACGCTCGACCCTCGTGATTCCGTGCGAAGCATCGAAAATTGTTCGATTCACTTCGTGGTAATTGGAACGTCGAGGGGAGGGAAAGGTGGATCTGTAATTGGCCGCGTTTCGTGCGGGTTCTCATAGGAAAAAGTAGCGCTGGATCCATTGTTGAAAAATTCGGTCGAGGAAAGAAAGAGGTTACTCTTATCGGAGAAGCTCTTCTAGATCATCTCAAGTCACGCTTCCGTGTAAATCAGCGTGAAAGTGGTGATAAGAGTGTGAAGTGCTTGATGGGTTCGTGAACGAACGCGCCGTCTCATTCAGGAACTACGCGTGTTAGGTTGCGACAAAAAGCTTGTTAATATTCGTGAAACGTCTACAGTTGCTTTTACCGCGTCTCCTCCTCTATTAAACGCGTTACACTCACGCTTCTACCTCACGCTTGACGATTTTTCTTCTTTTTCGTTTGCGGCTCGATTAATCGAATCTTTCACGATTATCAGCGTTTTCAACATCAAGACGACACTATCGATTTGTTGCGTAAGCTCACGAGACTTGGGCGTGGTTACATCTTTTAATCGCAGATTAATCTATACTTGGCTATATTATATTGCGTTAATACCTGCAAGTTTCTCAGAAAGTCCGACGAGCATCGGTGTTCAAAGGAAGGACAATTGTCCGCTATTGTACGGCTAAACTGTACATGATCGATTAGTTATTACTCATAGTTGAAGCTCTGATAGATACGGCCACCGGCCGTAACAGAGAAGCAACGATGACCCGGGTCGCTCTCACGCGTTTGTCTCAGTTCTTCACTTCCGCTAGTGAAAGGTGCATGAACACTCACCTCTACCTGGTAAAATGCGCTTACGTGCATCCCCGCGTGTGCATCAGGACTAGCCAAGTACACCTCCTCTCTGTCAGTAACGACGCTCGCCTGGAAAGGCAGCCAAGCCAGGCTTAGATCGGCGACGCATCGTTCTCATTGAAATTCTAACGGGTGTCCCGTGAGAAACGATCGGTTTTCACCGCGCGTATCAACGTACCTCTAACCTCGCTGTAAATCAATTCCGCTCCGCTCTTTCTGCATTTTATCAGACTGTTTAGCGCCATGGAAAGCTTCGTTGAGTAACAGCGGTTGTAATTAAATTTTCGTTATTTTACTTGAATGATTTCAACCGGGAAGAAAAGTCGCGTTCAACGGAGAAAGATTTTTGGGGATTTTCAACACTTTGAGAATTTCGCGTAATCTTAGTAAAATTTTTTACAGAATTAAAATTAAAATAAATAAATTATATTAAATGAAGATGGAAATTCAGGGATTGCTAACCCTTTGAATACCAAGGCAAAGAATTTCCATGCGATCTGAATAAAATTTCTGCACAATAGTAATAGCTTGTTAGGCTGAATTTATTGCTAATAAAATAGAAAGGAACAAGTGTGGGAAATTTTACAGGATAAATATTTTCGCTCGCAACCCGTGAGCGATATATTACTCCTTGGTGATCAAAGGGTTACCAGGCCTATCCTTTTTCCTACGCGGAGAGCGCGATGCAACACGATCGATTTTAAGGAAGAAAAAGAGAAACGCGGAAAGACGAGCGAGAACCGATCGTCCAGGGAAGCGGTTTTTGTCGCGTGAGAACGCGTTATTAGCTTCGCGTATCGATAACGAAACGTGTATATACTTGACATTTCGTCCAGTGTATCTGTTGCGCAACTCTGATTTTTATTGCTCGTAACCTCGGCGACTGGAATTCGAGTAAACGTAGCTTAATTAATTTCTACATACCTACACATAATTGTATCGTCCGATCAATTTTCCGCATCGAAGACCAAGTTGGTACGGTGTCGAATGACGTTTGACGTTGGTTAGAATGAAAATGATCTTCACAGGAGCGACTATCGTGATACTTTTCCCTGAGCAGTAAAATGAAATCGGGAAGAAATTCGCGCAGTCCCGTCACGGACGGTTTTGTAATTCTAATAGTCAGAATTTCTAAACCATTTTATTTCGACCGATTCGGTTTGCCAAGTGGAGCGGCTCGTTTTAAGATCATGCCGATTTCTTGCGTCATTATTGGCCTAATTCCAACCGATTTGTATTCATATTTAGGCAATTTTTACCCATCGACACACCGGCGCGCAATTCCATGAATATTAAGAAAAAGAAAAGAAGAACCCCGACTCTTTTCTACCACTTCGCGGTTGTTTTTCAAATAATACCGTCTGTGTTTATCTCTGATTACATAGCTGTGTTTAATAACGTATCGAGCGTGGTAGTGGTGGTACTTCGTTACATAATTTCGTCTGATAAATCCACCGGAGCAGAATTTCTGGAAACTCCTGGCGCTCTTTATCTGATCGTATCGCGTTCGAGGAATCAGCTGATAAAAAATATTCCAAGCGCACAATTCAATTATTCTTCCCACTCGTGATAATAGCGATAATCCCGCCAATTCTTTTTCTCAACGTGGCAATTAAAAAATAATCAACTCCGCGTAAGATTGAACCAACATACCGTATATTTCATCCACTGCGTTCGACGATATACGAAAATGCATACACGTATAATTTCATTGTGCTTATCAGCGGGACATTGATTGGTTTATACGTCGTAATACTCGTACGAACTTTGAACTCGTTCATAAACGTCGAATCACGATTCCGAGCCATTGTGGAACTTCCTTGTTCCATGCCCCCCGATTTCCTCATATATCGTATCTAACGATCGACGAATAATAACATACTTACAATATACAAAAAACAGTACAGCGTATGTACATACATGTATATACACTCGTAATAATACCGCCACCACCCCATAGTTCAATAACCTCCTCTCCTCAGTGACGTAACTTTACTCATTGTTCTTATCACTCGAGTCAATATCACGTCGCCTCCTGCAATTTCCAATATTTGGCAACGGCTTATTCTTGCACTTCTTCACCCAAGCCTCCCACGCCTTGAATCCTTCCGTGTTCTGAATCTTGTTCGCGCATTCTATGTCGTCCTGGATGTCGTCGTTGGCGAAATCCTCGCACCGTTTGTTGCAAAGCCCGCCGGTACGTCCCCTCGAGCACCATTTCAAGCTGCTGATCTGGAAGATCCCGTAATTATAGCTAGAGGCTGTCTTCGGGCCGGTGACCAGTTGCGTGTCCAATCCGCTGACGCTCTCCATCAGGCAGACCCAGTTACTGATCAAACTCCTCGAGATTTTGGCTTTGGTCAACTCTTGGACAGCTTGACACTCTGTCAGTATCTTAGCTTCGACATGGTTGCCTAAGGAGAGGACAACAGCCATGCAAGCTAAGATCAACGAGTATCTGATCTCTCGCTTCATTTGTTCGGTCGCCGTTGATCGGAAGGATATGTAGATCGAACGCGGATAGGTCGAACGATGCTATGACACTAAATTGTACGATGCAACACACACGATCGCGACGCGAATTCACGCTTAAATATGACGCGACTTGCTTCACCGGTTGTGCCGCGCTCTACGATATGCGACAACCTTGAGCTTGAGCGATAAATTATAATTTCCTAAGCGCTCCGCGCCGCCGGAAAGAATGTCTCGACATTTCGCGTCTCTCTTCCTCCGGCTGATTTCGTTTCGCGTTTCGCGTTTGCCTCGTAGGCCCCACTGATAAAACCAACGACCATCCACTTCACTCGGTCTTCGCTTTTTTCTTTTTCACCGCGATACAGGGTGCGCAGGGTGATAGAGGCGAGAGAGCTGATAAGAGCTGAAGATGGAAGTAGAAGAAATGTTTCACTTGATAGACTTAGTTCTTTTTCTTTTCTTTTTTTCATTGATCGTCGATGGTGTCCGAAGAGTTGAAACGATCTTCTCGAAACGGCGCGGCGTTTAAACCGCGATGATCGGAGAAAATTCACAGGATATCGGTTAACTGCGATCTTCGGCTAATTGGACGGTTTCGACACGCGATCCTTAAAGGGCCTCGAGCGAGAACCTTATAAGCCGAACGAGACTTTCTAACCGGGTAAAAATCCTCCCGGTGTGTCGTACGAAATGTGTTTGAAGAAAAACGGACTCGAATTCTTGTAATTGGAGGAAAAGTCAGACAGGGAAGGAGAATTTTTGTCAGATAGTGGTACACACAGAGTGTCTCGTTGACGTAACGCGCGCCTGCGATTATTTAATGGAGAAATTTTATTTGGAATCCGTGGAAATGTCGAAGCATCTCAGTTGGAATTGCATAAACGATTATGCAATTTATGGAGTTACTCGTTTTCGCCGGATTTTTCGTTTCTTATTCGTCTTTTTTTTTACAAACGATCGGTGTCACGTGTTAAGGTACAAATACAATAAAATAGGCAGTACGTAAAATTCGCAAATAAAAGTCTATACACAAGGCACAATAATATCACATGTACTTACAGAATTCGTTTAAACGTTAACGCTACTTGTTCGTGGGAGTACTGGCATTTTAAATCGTTTCTCTTTTATCTTAAGTTACTCGTTCGCGAGGGTAACTTTCTTTTTCTATGAGACAATATCAAAAAGTACTAGTATACACTTTTTCCAGTAAAAATGAAAATAGCAATCGAGAAAGATACATCACACAGAACAGTTCACAGTGTAAATAATGCCAGAATTTGCTAGTCGATGGCCAAAGTATTAATCGTGATTGTCGAAAAGTGTCTGGTTTCTATTTTTCTATTCGTTAATACTTGGTGAATCAATGGCGATCTATGTACGAAGGTAACGTATTCCTTTCCTCCGTGAATTAAAGAGTTCACAGTGCAAAACGTCGATCGTTTCGTTATTTCAGATTAAAAAAGGGTTAATAACAAACTTTGGTGAACAGGTTTTTAAATATCATTCGGTAGAAACTTCATCGTGGAAAGAACCATAATTACACCGTGTATATGTACAAAATATCCTAGCTAATACGTGAAAAATGTCCTGGCAAAACGCGTGCTTGCAACACACACTCTCTACATTAACAACCGAGATATGGCAGTCAGCCTGTGATTCGTCAACCTGCTGCATTGGTCAAGTTCAATCTTCTGGCTTTGGCAAATCGCAGTATCTCTGGATTTTCGTAGATCATCTTCGACAGAGTCTCTATCCCCGCGTAAGTGTCAGCTTTAGTTCCCATACACATGGACCATTGAGTCTCCGAAAGATCCTTGCTGCACTCGACTTCGTGATAAACGTGAACCAAATCTTTGTCAGCAGATCTGAAGATCTTAATATTAGATTTCACCACTTTCTCGTAGAAATCCACGTCCTCTTTGCCCCATCCTTGAATGGTCAAATCAAAACCACCCACGCTTTTGTAATCCTGCTTGAACAGCGAGACGATACCGAATCCAAATTGCCTCCAGTATCCAGTCATTTCGCTAATAGCGAACGTGCCTTGCTTCTTAGCGTAACCGTAGACGATTTTCGGATCGTACTGACTGAACACCACGGGGAAATAAATTTGCCTACCTAGAAGAGTATTGGAGCGTATTCTGTGCAGCGCTGCTTCCGTGAAAACTATGTCCACGTCGATGAAGAACATCAGATCGTTGCCGTTCAATCTGGACACACCGTGATTCAGAGCTCTCGCTCTGGAGAACGTTCCAGGAACAGGGATAATATCGATACTGGCGCTACGATACTTGTACTTCAATTGCTCTATCAGATCTATCGTTCGATTGAACGTGTCCTCGGTTCTATGGCGGTAGAGAATCACCAACAACGACGTCCTCTCGCCGCTCGTCAAACAGATCTCTTCGTAGTTTTGTATAAACCTCTGGAAAACCTCGTATCTCCCGGACAAAGGTAGAATGAAATGGACGATCTTGCTTTTCACCGGATCCTCCTCCTCTTGCTCCTCGAAGTTGAAATTCAGGTTCAGGAAACCACCGCGAAATATATCCTGCAGCGTTCTGTCGTTCCGTTCACTCCTTCTCTCCTCGTCGATTTCCCTTCCATCCACGGTTTCTCGTATTTCCAGTCCTGAAGAAAAAAGAACGAAACCAACGCGCGTATTTCAACGTCCCTTCTTTCTTATGTGATTTGTTTAGAAGCACGATTTCGAATGGAAATTGTCTAGATACCCGTGAAATGTTGATGAAGGTAGACGTGTCTCCGTACAGGCAGAGTAACCTTTCTACCTCTGTACTTCCGGTACACGAGGAGAAGATCCAGTATCGTGTCGGCGCCGTAAGAGTCCACTCTTCTGTAACCGTACAACGTTGACCTTTCCTCCACGACACGGCCGCGTTGTCGCGAACAGGCATTTATAGACGCCATTACTTCCCTGGTGATATCCTCGAGGCCCTCTTTTATGTCGCTGTGAATTCTTCTCCTGGGATTCGAGTCGCTCAGGCTGTACTCGGACCTCGATAAAAAATCCCACGGTATCACTTCGTCGCTGGTCGTCGGTTTGAACGAACGCAGTCCCGCCGGAACACCTGAAAATGCGAAACAAACGTCGACGCGTTTACACAAAGTCGGGAATTTACGTTGTTCGACGTCGAGGCTGCGGAATAATTCACATCTGGGATCGGGTCATTATGCATACGCTAGAGCCTCACATTCGTTTATTCAAATTTGTCCAGTAGATGGTACGAGGGCAGCCGATGTGAAACCGAACCACTTCATATTAAACGTGAATTGTATCTGTAGAAGATGGAAATGAGTAGAAACACGATCGAAGGTTACGATCGTTCTGTCTGAATAGGCTGAAACGTATCCCCGGGCTAATCGGCCTAAATGGCTCTATTAATAACGCACATCCAGGGAAACGCGATTGTTCTTCAAGTCGACTCTGCTCGTGAAATATTCGCGAGGTTCAAGAGCTTCGAGCAAGGGCAACTCGTTAAAACGTACGTTACCGGTCAACATCGAATCTCCTATCAGTTACGTACGATTCAAATTTGCTGACTTTCTTACCAAGATTTTGCGGTAAGTTGCAGCGTCTATGGTTATTCGAAACTTTTGGTCGATAGTGTATAGACTATGAAACAATCTTAAATTGACGATGATATCACTTCTTAACCACCCACACATTCCTCGGTTAAATTCCACGATTTGATAGTTCCTCGGTAATTCTCGTTTACCTAGTATTTCCGTGTCACCGGGATATTCCTTGGAGAACGGGCTGGTAGGGAACAAAGGGACACCCCGGGCTATCTCGAAATTCTTCAGATTCTCCACGCTGACGCCTAATTGCTTCACCATGGTGTAAATGTCCCTGTGAAGATTCAATCTCTCCTGTTGTAAATCTTGGACCTGCAGCCCCTGGAAACAGGAAACGGATCCCTTTCTGAGCCATTGCCGCGAGGAAACGATTAAGAGAGGAAACGTTAGCCAAGTCGATACGAACCCTGATGTAATTGTGCAACCTGTACATGTGCGGAGGACTTTTAACAGGATGCAAGGTAATAGCACGGTGAACCTCCTTTTTCTTCAGATTTCCGGTGAACGCCTGTGCCCCGCTACTGTTGTGATACAAAATAGACTGCATCTGAAACAGTAGTGAAAGCTTCCAGTATCGCCGGCTGCAATTAAGATTAAAGGGGCAGAAATAGAAGACAGTCTCGTCGGTGTCACGCGTGAACATCGAAGGATCTTCCCAGTGATCTTATCGTCGCGAATTACACGCGTTCGAAAGGGTCGTATCAACGAGAGATGTTACGTTATATACATTGTACCTGCTCTCGACAGGAGAAAAGGAAGAAAATTTTCGACGATAAGATTAGAGAGCGTTCCGCAGGTGAATACGCGTCTGCAAGCTTAGACGAATGACAATTAGCGAGAGATAAAGTAGGAACTTCCTGCTGGTGCACTGGCCGATAATAATTATCATCGAGAACACGAAACTACATCTTACCGGGGTCTACGGTGCAATTGTTAATCAAGCTGTGAGACTGGGTGTGGTCGTGTCCTGTTACAGGGAATTATTCTAGTATTACATCTCTCAGGTTAACTTGGTCATGCTCCAACACCGTTTATTGCAACGTTCCCTCCAGCCGATCCCGCTATTGGACAGTAATTACAATTGAGAGATGTCGGCAACTGATTATACGTGTCTGAAGACGTCACTTCGGCACCTTTTAACGTTAACGGAGAATCTCGTAACGTTAAGTCAGGTAATGTGATACTCGAATCTTAACACGTCCCGACCAATCAATGGGCTAGACAGAGGCGAACGTGCAAAAAGTCGACGACAAACAGTCTAGTAGTTATTGCACGTCGTACGAATGGGCTATTAAGTGTTTCGACCTTACGACGAGCGTGAAGACAGGAACGGTTACTAGGTTAGCCAGTAGGTTAGCAGGCTACGATTTGTTCGAATCTAACGACTAACCTCTTCAACCGTGGTTATTCTACCTTTTGCAATGTATTATTCCATTGAAGAGAGCAAGCAATCCGTCTAGGCCAATTGATACTTCCAGACCGCGAGAAACGAGCTTTCGGGATTAAAAATAAAATCTTCACGGTGTTTTCTTTAGCGATTCGAACCGTTCGATTGAAATAACCAAGACCGTACCGTTCCCTTCGTTTGTTTTTTCTATTTTCTCTTTTTTATTGAAACTTCCTCAATCCAGAGTAACCTTTTCTCTTAGCGCAATAAATAGGATAAAAGGTGTAGGCAGAGGGGAAGAAGGAAAAAAAAAAGAATGCTTCATTGGATCGTGTTTCGGTCAATGTTGCCGCTAACAACGTGACATAATAATTCGCGTAACATCGTGCAGCCGTGAACGCAACCGTTGCAGTTCGATTAAATTATTACAAGGAGCCACGATAAAAGAGAGAGAGAGAGATTTAAGCGGTCGGTGCTGGCAAATTGTTACTTAAGCGCTTCGACCTAATGCCAAGTGTCAAGATGGAGGAGAATGACTCGATCTGGCCGCTGGGTTAGCAGGGTACTATTCGCTTGTACTTAACGACTAACATCCTCATCTGTGCATTGTACCTTCCGAGTTAACCCAATGATAGCGTACCCTGTACATGACGCAGACACATAGCTTATGTATTTAAACCGATAATACGTATCGTGTACGGCTCTATTTCTATCGTGCGAACATTACATTACCAAGATTCGATAATCGTAACCGGAGCACCTATACGAAAGATCGGAAAAAAATTCGTCCCAGCTGTATAATTTCAACCCTTTCGTTCAGTCGTAAAACCCAACGAAGTAAAGCCGAAAATTTCACGCCTCGTTGTCACACGTGATATATTCCACGGGACAGCGCGCACACAGCGATCCAACGATCAACAAATTACGCGTACGTTCACAGTTAAAACAGGCACTGTGCACCAGAAGAGCGAAGGAAAGAGGACGACCGAAAATAGATCTAATAGTTATGCGAACGTCATCGAGACAAGCTGGAAGAACGAGGAGGAACAGACACTTAAAAGGAGTAAACCTCTCGAAAATAGATCTCGCGACGACACTCATTCGCCAAGAATGTCCACGCGACGTTCCCGCGGCAATTAACTTCCCGGAGTACAAAAGCGTACATTGTAAGAAAAGCTGACAAAAGTGTCGGGAAAAAAAGAAAAGGGAGAATTACCTCGTAGCTCCAGGTACAAGGTATACCGGCGTATCTCTGCACACATCTTCCCAATTCGACGTCCTCGTGCGTGGTGTACAAATGTCTCAGACAATACTTGATATGTGGCACGATCCTCCTCAAGGTCTCCCTGGAGAGGACGACACCTGGACCACCCATGCAAAAATTCTCGTCGTACTCCAAGGACAGCAAACCGAACTCCTCCGAGTTCCCCCTGCCGGCTTGACCAATGTACATAGCTCTCCTGGAATCGACAGAGCGTAACAATTTCTCTAGACGATCTGTCCTCACGTAGACGTCATCGTCAGCCCTGAGGAACCACTCGAAACGATCACCGTAATTGTTCCACATATACTGCAACATCATGAACGACTTCTTCTGGGGTGGATAAGTGTCGTCTACTCTCGGCAACGCCACCAACGGTAGATCGGGACAATTCTCCGGTACAACGGAGCTCTCCGACGAGAAGAAAGCGATTTTCCCTGGTAGTTCTTTGCCCCACGTCTCGTACACCGCTTTTGCACGTGAATCTAGATACTTGCTGGCGGTCATAACGCCTACGAAGACTAAACTGGTCGAGGAACTGTTTATCTGTTGATCGTCGTTCAATTTCGGAACGTTTCGAGCGGATGGTCTCGTTAACACTCTCGATCCAGCCAACGAGGTGGCGTAAACATTGAACCGTTGCTGATGGCTCGACGATAGGATCCTGTAGCTCTGTATGAGGAAACCAAGCAGCAGGCCTACGATCAGGCCTAGAATGGCACTGGCCAGTCCACGTCGTTTACGCATCACTGGATGAAACGTCACCTCTTCCATTGATACTCTTCCGGGGTCTCTGGACCTCCGGCTAGGTTCATCGTCATTCTACCACCAGCACCCTCGAATGGCTTCTCTAACGATAGGAACGTGTTAATTAGTGTAGTCGCCGGGTACTCTGCGCACAGTCGTCCCATTGCTCCCTTTTCTCGAGCACGAGCTCCTGGCTCAGACCTGTTGAACAACATTTTCCTCTCGTGATCCTCGTTAGAGACGATATCGACGAACAAACGGAGTACCCGTGTTCGACGTTGGAGAAGTCGAGGGAGAAAGGAATTAGGTATTCCTCTCGCGTTCGCCGGACCTTGGTCCACGTTTGTTTGCCATTTAAACAGCAAACTTTGACTGTTTGTTTTTCACCGGGACCCGACGCGACCGCAAGAGTAGCCGGTTGTTTGGCCAGCCATTTATTTTTTACACCAGCCTCGACGGCCGGGGAACTAATAAGCGCGAATTGAAAACGAAACCGATTATCTCTATCGGACGATAACGTATCTGTCCGGCGTACGTCGCAGCCAAGGGCTATTTATCACGGAAAACGAACGTTTTACTTACATCGAACACGATTTGCATCGGTACGAACGACGACTGGATCTCGTGTCGTTCCATGGTCGATCCAGAAGCGGCGAGTCGATCGTTCATGTTGATCTGAAACGAAACGCAAAAGAATGGACGATGATTCGCGGATAAAAATTGATAAGATCAATATGCACGGAACGAACGAGGTCGCACACGTGCTAACCAATAGAACTGCGAACCTCTGGGTCGGCAATTAATTCCTTTAATCACTGCTACCCTTTGATTTATTAAATATTTCATAACAGTTCGATCGATAAATTGATTCGGTAGTCCATGGCCGTTCTTTCTTTCAGCGACGCGCGCTTACAGCCTGTCCAGACAATTATCAACGTCCACTGGACAAATCGAAACACTCGTCGAGACGATTGATACTGTTTATTTCAACGAATTCGATCGAATCTTTTTCGATGCTTAATTTAAAAGGGTAGATACGAGGAGACTCGAAGAGATAATGTCGCTTTACAATTTCGACGATTTTTTTTCTTCAACGTCACTGGAATAGCGATAAGAAAACGAACAGGGCTGGCCTCTGTGCGATCTTAAAAAGCCATAGGACAAACAGTATAATGGTCTGCCTAGAAACGAGAGGTTTACGCTGTTCAATTAACCTGTCGGTGCAGCTAGTTTTGCTAATATGGACAAATATGGACGATAGGTTAAATTCTCGGTGTACGTTTGTACAATTTTTCAATCGGTCCAAGTACCGTTGAAAACATTTTTGTCTCTCTAGATCTTCGATACCAGGAGAAGACTGCAAGAATCTGGTAGGAATGTTACTCGAGCTTGTCTCGATAGACGATCTCTCGGGTGGGTTAAATAAGAGAAACGAATAAAAGGTATTGCCAACGGTCAGGTGAAATTTATTCCCGAAATCGTCGTAGACAAAGAATTGTCCCTTGGCGAAGAACCGGTTTCAGACACGTTGATATACATATCCGAATGCGGGCAGTTATTGAATTTCGTGGCTCGTGTGAAGTGAATGTTTGTGTGCTCGTGTGAAATGAACCGTGGCAAATGGAAACGCCGTTGAAGAAAGATCGTGGAAGGAGTTAGGATGCTCCGCGAGGTTGTTCGATCGAGTAAGGAAAGGTATGTTTCTCGTTAACTGTAAAATTAATTCGTTAAACGCAGGGTCGTTGATGGTCATCGTCGATTGTTTCCAGTTGGTTATTCGCACACCGCGTTTCCGTTCTCACAATCCTCCTCTCGCGTTTATGCTCGCTAGGAAAGAGCGAAAAAGAACACGGATTCCCGTTAAAATCGTCGGTTAATGCAAATTATCACCGGGTCACCGATGGAAATAATCGTCGAGAGGCGACAAGTTGATTCAATATTAGCGCGACTCTTAATCTTATCGGCTTCCAAAGAAAAAGAAGAGAGAGACTGCCCTGCAATAATAACAACAATTTCGTAGATAATTCGAGGTGGCGAAATATCGTAATTTCGTCGTGAAATTAATTACTATTTTTATCCAGAGTTATTTTCAGATAAGGTACCGTTACGTCTTTCCTAGAATCGACGGGCGCGGGACGAATAAGGTGTTGACAATAGCGATTACACGGGTGAATCGGTGAATCCACCGAAATCGCCGGTGTTCGTCCAGTTAAAGGATAGGATTCGACGTGACGTAGAGAGGAACGAGGACGTACGAAAGGCGGGAGAACCGGTTTAAGCCGAAAGTCAGCTCCAGATCTCCGCTAGTTCCTATGGTAGGAGAGCGTCTACTAGTTCATTATGGTTGAAGAAGATAAGTTGTCTCGAGGCAAGAAGCGAGCTTCCTCGAAATCGATCGTTTCGAAGAAAGGAAAAAAGAGAGAACGTAGAAATACATTGGTTGTGAACGACAGAAGTAGATGGTGTAACGGAATGTTCTGCTAGATAATAGAAGATAAACTTGACCAGATGCGTCTAAGGTATTCGATTATCGAGAAGCCTTTGTTAATTTCAATCACATCTGCGCGATGGATTTGCATAGATTCCGTGGTGAGCCAGGACAAAGTGGTCGACTGGCTGGAAACACGTTGCGGTTAGGATTACCGTGACTGTCGACTCGCATTAGCTCCTCAACGATCGTATTTTCGAAAGACTGAACTGAGGAGACCATTAGATGCTGTTACGTGGAACGGGGTCTCCTGCTAATTGTTCCCACAGACATCGAGCCGTGGTTACGAGACACAACACGGTCAGGCAACGGTGGAAAAAGAGATTCGTCGTAGTCGTGACTGGAATGAAGAAAGGAAGAACGCTGTTCGATCTACCTATAGTGGAAGCCTCCAAGTGTCATCGACATTTCGAGAGTTAGACTGGCACGGTAATAACGAAAGGCTGAGGACGGGTCGCGCTGGAACGATCCCGGTTCACGGCTGAACAGTCTCGTTAAACGACATCACCTTGCTTACTCTAAACAAACGATCCTTTGTATTCTCGCCTTAAAACGCGGAAGCACTTACGTCGAATTTCACCGATCTGGTCCACCAATCCCACAGGACTTTCTCACACTCGCTGACTACAACCACAGCAAAGAAAAAAATAAAGATTCAATTACTTCGCACTTCCTCGAGAGACTCTTTTGCAAGAAACAAGGAGCATATCCTCGTCACACAACTTCCTTCTTCTTCTTCAACGACTTACTCTCTTCCTCTCTCTTTCTGTCTGTTTCTCCAGTGTTGAGCGTGTACACGTGGTTGTCTATCTGGCGCCGAAAAAAGCCGCGTTACGACCCTGCCGTATCCGCCACGGCATGACAGAAACACGTAAACGAAGAGATGACGAGAGAAACGTGGAGAGGTTGGAAGTCTCTCGTGCCGCGGACGTGTTGCGAGCAGGATGTCGGAACAGCGACTGAACGGGAGACGAGAGAGCCGGCTGAGAAAGCATTCAGCCAAGCCAGGAGAGCCAGGCAGCCTGATCGGCTCGCCGAGCTATACTGAAGCTTTTCAACCGGCTGGCACCCAGCGAAATTTTTCGCCTCTGGATAGACGAGGGAAATGAGTTGATACGCAGGCTTCACGCTCCTGACCTCGGCAACCTTCGACAACCTCCGATTTCGATCCTTTCTTCTTCCTCCTCCTCCTTCTTCTTCTTCTATTTCTTCGTCTACTACCATTTTTCTTCCTCCTTTGATAACCGTTGAATTCCGCGAGATTTCCAGATGCACGTGCGCGCGCGTCAAACTGGAGGGAAGAGAAATTATGTAAGAACCTCCGGTGCTCCCCCGAGCCGAGTTTCTTCGGTGGCTGGTTTCTTTTAATATGTCTGGAATCTCGAATTGAGGCGGGATATCATCTTCTCGTTCTATATCTCCTACATATTCTCTCCCACCAAATGTGCACTTACTTGCTATACGTGTATACATAGATATATCATCGGATATGCGTGACCGAAGAAATGAACTGTAAAATTAATTCCATCGTCGATACACTCTGTTCGGTAATAGAATTGCAGTTTGATCGAATCGAACGGTGAGACGCTTCTATTTTTAATGGACGACAGATTATCGATATAGACCTTATTACCTAAATTTTGGAGCAAGTAGCGTGCGATCCGACGTACTATATTTAGCTCTATATTTAGAACCTGTGACCCTCTCTAGAAACATTCTTATCTCACTATAGCTGTACACATCGAGACACTCCCTTGAGAGAAAAAAAAATTGACATTTTTTTCCTTCCACAGCTTTTCCTTTTACACTTTTTCCAATTACACTTCTTCCTTTTTTCCACTCTCTCCTCTCCTTTTTGTACGATTTCAAGGCGCAGAGATATCAGAGAGCGACTTTATCAATCGGAGATAAGGCTTTATAAAGAGATAAAGGCTTTTTCTTTTTTTACGTAGAAGTACTCACTTGAGAAGTACTCGAAAGAACTGTTAGTTAATTGCTATCGATATCCGTTCGGTTGATAGAAAACAGTATACGCATGTTTGTTGCACACGAACGGTAGGTGAGAGAAACGCGTATATAGTAGAGGGCGGGTAGACGTATCTGGTTAGCGTATTGTGTAACGAGATGCGTAAAATAAATGTGCAACGAACACCTACGCGATCGTCGCGTGCGCGTTAAAGCGCGCAATAATGAACGTTACTAAACGGTTGGGACCACGGATGGTAAGAACAGTCCAAGCTGACACACTATAGCGACTCGCGTCCGTAAAGCAGGAACTTCCGTCGAAATAGAAGCGAATTAAACTACCTTTACGCTTCGTGAATTTCATATTATCTCCCATTCGACACGCACGATCCTTGCTCGAGCGGAACGATCGGATTAAGACGCGAACGAGCGACCAAAGGGAGAGTGTACTTAGGCGTGCGTGTTGGAAAAACGTGGAAAAAAAATCAGCCTAAATGTTAGATCGAATACGATCGTTTCACGTTTATACTTTTAACCGGAAGACGTGGAACTCTAGATTTCGTTTATCGAACACGTGCGTTATCACGATGGAATAACGAGAATCCGACGGAATTAAGCGAACCAGCCGTATGAATCATTTGGGAAGAGGAAACTTTACCCGAGAGACCAGAGTTTGACTTATTTTATTTTTAGCGTAACACATGGAAAGAAGTCCTTTCGGCCGGAAGCACACGACGGAGAATCCCTCGAATTTTACGCATGTGAATAACATAGTCACGGTTTAGGCCAATCTCTTTCGTTACGATTCTCCTCAACATTCCCGTGAATTTGTTACACGTATACACACGGTTTATAACGCGTCCCGTGGAAGTTGGTGATCTCTTAACGACGCGTGTGGGGGAAAGAAAGAAGGGGATGGAAACGAATCGTGGGCACGCATGGAAAGGAAATTAGTGTGTAGGAAACAGTCTGTCGTTGTTCGTGGTTTCGTTTATCTTGTAGTGAAATCTACTATATGTATTCGATCGTTTCTTTTTTTGTTGCCTTCTTTCAGTGAAATCGTGTTGGTACATATTTTCTGTATTGTGACGCAATGACTGATAGTTCGATAGTCCGATAATCGTTCTATCGAGAAGCATGCTTTTGAGAAATTCTACGAGGCAAGTTCTCTCTCTCTCTCTCTCTCTCCCAAATTGTAATGGTTCTGTATTATCACAGCTTTATCTGATAACACGTTCAACCTCTCTCCAATATGACGCACAAATACACCCATCTGTAACGCAAAGAAAAGGAAAATTGCGTTATTCTTGGCAAAAAGAATGTTTTGTTTATTTGTTTATATCGGCGACGATGCACAAGATGTGATTTATTGTTGCGCATCGTGTTCATCGGCGGAGTTAATGATTCCCGCAGCCGCGTTGTTTGACTTTCGGTTTAAACAAAACGGTTTTAATTGAATTTCCCGGTAATAATGTATGAAATTACGTAGACTTTAATAGTTTCATCGTTCGGCGTGAGTGCGTTATGAAATTATTACCGGTATTAAAGACTAACGCGTTGCACAATGCGGTGTTTCTTATGCATTATGCAACAGCTAGGGGATTGCATTCTACGTAGAGAAGAAAATGAGTAAGTTTGCTTCAGGAGAGAGAAGAGAAAAAAAAACTGTGAATTGACGATAGATATATCGCGATTGTTCGTTGCGTGTATGTTTCTTCTTCTGCAGGTGTGTTTGTTCGCACGATTAGATAGAAATGGTGTAATTCTTTGTGTATATAAAATGATTTCGTTGAAATTGCAGTTTCTGACAAGTTACGGTAGGATTCGAACGTTCCCGCCAACCGGAGAACAAAATGGCGGGAAGCAGCTATGTGACGACAGATCGTTGAACCTAGAAGCACTACTGCATTCAATTAATATATCGATTCGATCGTGTTTGTCGTTCATTCATTGATAATACCAGTAAAAAATTATTGTCGATCATTCTGTTGATTGTTTTTATGCGCATTAGATTCATTAAACGTGTGCAATATTTTTCTCAGGGTTGTACCAACTTAAGGCTTACACGTAACGCGCCATCGATTGGTACCTGTGACTTTTAGAGTTGAATAAACCGTTCCTTCCTTGGATAATTAGTATATAGATTTTTTTCTACGAGATATAAAGCATTCCTGTGAAAAGAAATATGATTGTTGTAAACGTAAAACGTTCGTTGGAAATAAAATATAAGTTACTGGCAACCATGTTGCAGAGGGCGTAACGTTCTACTATGTTCGTTCCTGGACCGCCATTGGTTAGGTTGCTGATTTGACTATTTTTTCAGCGGAAGTGACGCGAGTCGCTTCGTTACGTTTACATTCTGTTCTCGACGTCGCGTTCATTGTGGGGAGCCATTACCCTCGTCCGCGCTAAGCATCGTGCCATATTCCCATTCGTGCCCTAATACTAACAACATTCTCGTAGTTTTAAGTGAAATATTATGAGAGTGAAGACCGAAATGGACGACGACGAAAAGGGGTGAGTTTGAATTGCGTATTAACGAGCGTACGAAGATATATTTTACGCGAGAATTTTCAATCGACGCGTTCACGGGCCGTCGGGTTTATTGCGTGGGATCTCCATTTGCGTATTGCAGTTACCTCCTATCTCTCGTTTCCCCTCGGTGTTTTCTTGATCTTGAGCTAAATCGCTTATCTCTGCAATGTAAAACGTCATCGGGCCTCGCGTAGCCGCGTACAATTTCAACGATATGCGAGGCCAACCTTTTTTCCACGGAGCAATAAGCCGTGGGATGTGTAGTTTTTCGTGAGAGGGGAATAATTCACCGATGCCGGTTCTGCATATTGTTACTTTCGTCTACCTATCACCCGGCTATTTTCCCCATTTCGAATACTCTCGTTTTCGAGAAATCGACAGGCACGAGTACGATAGACAGGAATATTGTACATTTTTCATATATTATTTCGGCGTGAAAGTATGTTACTGCATCGTCGCTCGCATCCTTTAGTTCTAGATTCTCTATTTTTATGCTCTATATCCTGAAAGATCAGAGCATTTCAATACTCCCTCGCTGCGTGATTTTCTTCTCGCACGCCTGACCAATTGCGATTATGATGCGCTAAGCGGCGTATTATACTTCAATTATTCCCGAAAATTTTCGTTACTCGTATAAGAAAATGTGTTGCGAAATAACACGATGTTATGCATGTTATTGAATAAACGTAGCCGAAATTCTTGGTTCATTGACAAATAGTACGGTACGTTTTATCGTTAAATAAATCGTGATCTGCGCATTTATTATAGAGGCGTCAGGCAAACATTATTGTGTCTCTTATTGTTTGTCGCGTGAATTATCCCGCATTTATTGATTTCTACATTTAAGCCATATCTTTTTTACATAATGTTTTATGAAAAAATGTATTCTTGAGAAATTATTCGAATCGAAAGTAGCTGTATATGCTCGTATTATTTGTAAATTTTAAAGACGATATTTTCTTCTTTTAATTAATGTTACTTATGTAACCACGTTCAATGCGATATTACGTTATTTATCATTTAGAACATTATTGGATTGTTACAGAAAGTTGTTTGTTGGTGGTTTGTCCTGGGAGACATCACAAGAAAACCTGCAACGCTACTTTGGTCGATATGGCGAAGTAATTGATTGCGTTGTTATGAAAAACAGTGAATCTGGTCGTAGCCGTGGATTTGGATTTGTAACATTTAGTGATCCAGGAAATGTTCCAGTGGTCCTTCAGAATGGACCACATCAGCTTGATGGACGCACGGTTAGTATTCGTTTCAACGAGAAGATAGCTAATTTGTCTAGTTTTATGAAGGTAGATAGATTTATTTGCGTGTTATTTGTTTTCTGTTACAGATTGACCCAAAACCTTGTAATCCACGTACTCAACAGAAGCCAAAACGTAGTGGAGGCTATCCAAAAGTTTTCCTTGGTGGCTTACCGAGTAATGTGACGGAGACCGATTTGAGGTCCTTCTTTACCCGCTTTGGCAAAGTTATGGAAGTTGTCATAATGTATGACCAAGAGAAGAAGAAATCAAGGGGTGAGTACATTATGATAATTGTTCATATACATACGTGTTCTGGCATTGTTTTAAATGGTTTCCATTCAACAACAATTGTTGTTATAATAGAATTCAGGATATCGCTTTACTTAATGATACTTTGCACATGTAGTAGCATTTTCTCTTTCTAATTACTATGGGAACTGTGAAGAACAATGCTTCATAAATATTTAAAGTAGGATCTTATCCTACATCTTATTTATTATGTGACCAGAAGTATAGTCAGAATTCTTGAAAGAAATTCTTTCCAATGAGATATATGTTTTGATATAAAATACAATGGATATTATAAAAGAATGATGCACAGTTTGTGCACTTGTCAAGTATACTAGCAATATTTTCTATAGACCTAATCAACAATTCTGACTTGAATGCAGCACACCCATTATCTAAAATACAATATTAAAATTTTATCTAGATATAAACATTAAAGTTAAGTGTAAACGTTAAAATTATTACGAAAATTAATAAAACAAAGATTGAATATGGTTTTGTGCTTAAGTCAATTGATAATTTGTGGTCATTGAACTTCCTCTGCTTGATTACCCTTTTTTGTAATGACCCTGCTCGTGCTTCCTTTAATAATTATAATTAATACATCCTGATTCACAGTCTTCTTAATTAATATTGTTTATTTTTGATAT